GCTTAGCAGCCCAGGAGAAGGACTGCCAGGAGGAGGATATAGGTGATGGTGCTCATTTTGGTTGTGAAAAAGAAGAATGGTATTGGAGAAGAGATTCCTGATAGTGACAAGTATGTCAATGATGTCTTAATTTGCTTGCCATCTTGGTGGCTATTGAAGCCATCGGACATGGATCCTCCGGGCACATTTGGGTATTGCCCCTGACAGCATGGTCAAAGTTTCTTCAGGATATCAAATGTATAATACCATTAAGACGCTGCTTGGAAGCACTCAGACTCATAATATGCTGCCTTTGGTACGAGCTCCTCGTGGGTATTTCCAGAGTTGCGTCTCACAAAAATACCCAGTCCTCTGCAATACATCAGCCCATAGTAGTCTTTCTCTGTCATGGTGGGCTTTTCCATACAATAATTCAAGGGGGAGCTCTTGTGGAGGCCAGAAGATACTTCGCTTTGTTGTCAATGACACTTCTGAAAGCCACTCCAAGCACTCGCTGGGGCTATCCGCTTGTTCCAATTTATCTTGTACCCTGATGGTATTGAATGTGTCATGGATAGTAGCCTCATCTTGCCAGTTATTCTGAGAGACTTGAGGTTTAGGCAACCTATCTTCCCACCCTTCGCGGGCTTGGTTTTGTTGCCGTTATCTTATTTTGTTGTAAAGCCATATGCCGATGAATATCCCGGCAAGTAGAGGAACGCCTATAGCGAGTCCAACTGCTAGTCCGCTCTTTGTGATACAGTTGGATTTTGAAGACTCAGTTTGACTCAGGGTTGATTGGTCTTGTGGAGGTTAAACAGCCTATAACGAGGGCTACAAGGAGGATAATAAGGATGTTGGTGTTCATATTTATAATGGGCTCAAGCATATAAAGGTGAACCGAGAGTCGAACCGTGCAGCATACATATTTTGGGCTTTTAGACTGAACTGCCCCTGATGTTGTCTTCGTCCAGGTATTTGGTGTAGTGCAATTGGGGCCGGTAGCATATACACAGTAGCCCAGCCACTTTACTGTTAAGACGCTTCACGAAGCCACTCTTCACAAGCTTGCCTCTCTTGTCATTTTCTTTGTTTCTTGGAGTGAAGCCATGTAAGGATGGCTATTATGGCAAGAAGAGGTCCACCCACAACCAGCAGGAAGGGGTAAAGGTACACGACTTCGACTTCAAGAAAGAGAAAACAGCTCGATAGGACAGCACTGATGACAACATGTTCAATCCAAGTAAAAGAATTGAGGCAGTTGTTGTAGTGAGTTGAAGGAATGGTATGGAGGGAATAAAGGTCAGGAAGTGTTGAATCTGTTGATTGTGTGTTGGTCATGTGCCTGTCTGTTTAGGTTTGCAGTAAAGGCACCTACCGTCAGGGGTGGAACAAGTTGTTGCTCCTTCTTAGGAAAGGTCGACTGGTTGGGATTTACTACTGCGGACTATGGATTAGTAGAATACCTGCCTAATCATAGAATAGATTCGGCATCCTTATTTGTTAGCTTCTACTATACTAACACTGTTCTTTCAGGAAGGACTTTATTTACTTTCTTGTTAATACCAACTGCAAAGGATTCTGTTATTTACAAGGATCGCGTAAATAAAGATGTTACTTACACACACACCGTTAATTGGGTAAGACTGTTAAACTATCCTGGCTCAGTAAAAACTGCTACAGCTTTAATTTTTATTTTTTAAGAAAAAAAAAAAAAAACTGGTACTATTTTATTGTGATTCTAGACAGTCGTAGAGTTCATATTGAGCCGAGCGAGGTCTCCAAAGGACTCGCAAGCTCAGGGGGTAGCAAGTTCCTTATAATCAATCACTCAATGTCTATCTTCCCTAGAACCGCCTGTTCCTCGAATCCATTGGGGAACCGTCGAACCTATGGATTTGCGATACCAACAAACCAACAAAATCACATTATAATAGAGGGAGGTCCTGATTCCCCAGTATCAAAGAAGTCATATAAGATACAGTAAGCTTTGGTATTGCTGCTATAGCGAATAATGGATAAAAAAAACTTAAAAGACCGTCAAAGCACTTCCTATTTACACCTATATACAATCGCTTGCTAATATTCAATCCCTAAACTTCACATCACATCATGCAATTAGTACGCCCGGCTGTCGGGTTTTACTTTGTTCTGATATTCTCACGCCCGGGGAAGCGCCGCAGCTTCTGAGTTTGACTCCGAGTCATTCTCCGGGAAGGTTCGTCGTCAAGGCTGAGACCGCCGATGCCGGGTCCGAGTTCGGACCTTCTTGGTGATAAGAACGCGTCGCTGCCGCTTCGTCCATAGCGAATATTCCGGATTGTAGCATTCGTGGCCGTAGTAGCTGTCGTCACCGTAGTTTCCGTGTCGGAGTCACGGTCCAGCGGGTCCGACACGTCGGATTCGTCGCCCTTCAAGCTCTTCAAACTGAAACTATAATCCTGGTGGCCGCCGTCATATGACGGATAAGGATGATGGCGCCGAGCTTCGGGCGTATGGGCTGAAAAGCTAGATCCAGTCACAGTCGAAGAGAAAGAAAGCGGCGGCATAGATTGCTGCGTGGTAAACGACTGAAGTTCTTGACCGCTGCTATTCTCGAGCCCAGGGGACGTGCTGGGGAGGCCGGCAGGTGGTGGCTGGGTCTGGTTCCCTTGCGTCACTTGCTCATTACTGATGGCCGACGAGAAACGATACAGAGAGAGTAAACCCAAAGCCTCTTGAACTGTCATGAATATCAAAAGGAGCTTTCCGTATCTGTCGAAGTAGTGTCGTTCGTAAGAAACCTGCGGCAGATTTCCTCCAAGATGAACTGCTGCCACGAGCTCTGCAAAATAAACAAGAATTTCCATGCCGTTCCATTGAGCGAGAGGTTGTTTCAGGGCTTCCAGTAGCGCGAATCCGGCAATAAGACTCGCACTACCCAAGGAAGCCACTTCAACACAATCACCGGGTAGAGAGATATGGCCATACTGTGATACGAGCCAAGCAACGATAGAGGATAGAAGCAATCCCAGTCGGAGATACTGAAAGATAAAATAACTATGCAAGTCGACAGACTGATGGGGACGAGCACTTGTCGTCTGCTGTTGCGATTGCCATGTGCCGTGGTCCTCATCCTCAGGCGATTTGATGGTGAAAGCTTTATCAAACAGACTTTCTAGCCCAGTTGAGGCAGCATGATCACTCATGGGGAAGAATTTCGGGGGTGCAAATGCAGTATCAAAGGGGCTATTGTTCCGCGCCCAGGGGCTTGAGGATTGAGCTGGAATACGGTGGAACGGATTGCGCTCAACAACCTGTTCGATGGGTTTCTGGCGCTGAGCAGGCTGGTTACGCAGGTTCCATGACGGAGGTTTAGGAGCGGCAGGTAGAGATCCGTAGAATGGCAAAGGTCCATCGAGAACAGATTTCCGCTCTCTCTGGTGCACGCTCACGGTAGGTGTGACATTATGCTGCACGGAAGGTGTCCAATCCATATCGTCTCCTTCCGGAGGAGGGGTAGGAAAAGTTGGCTCCTCCGGAAGAGGCCGAGGCGTTGCTAGCTTTTCGAGAGGAAAGCGTGGTGTGCCCTGTTGCAGGCCTTCGCTCGGGCTAGCGAAAAGTTGTTTGCTTCCAGTGGTACAAACGGGAGACTCGCCACGTCTACGAGCTGGGGTTGCTGCCGGAGTATTGTCGGTCCAATTTACCAAAGGGCGAGTGTCATACTGTGCAATGCGCCGAGAAAAAAGAACAGACTAGACTACTGTGAGTTTGATACCATTTCATCTCCATGGTTAGCAAGTGAGCGAGACATACCAAAGCAGTGAAAATGAACATGAACGTATGCAAGGTCGGGGGAAGATGTGATTGTAAACCACTTGACGAAGGGTCTCTAAGCAAAGCCCAAAAGACACATCGCACCACCATGACAATGAGTTGGACTTGGTAGTATTCTCCTAGGCCGACGAAGCGGCCAGCTCTCCCTTCAACCTTGAAGCGCAGTTTCGGGTTATACCAGGCAGAGAGTATGCCTGCTACAAGAGACAGGCCGGCATAAGGTGCCAGATCAACGAAGCAATAACTTGGCAAGAGGCGCATCTCCAACGTTTGCTGGACACACGTTACGATGGATGCTGGTGTAAGAAGATCGTCCGGGTCCCGTAGTAATTCATCAGTAGCTAAAGCACCCACTAGATTCCAGGAGAGTTGGCCAGCAACACTAGCCCAGTAAGTCATGGCGCCAGCATAAAGCAACAAGCTCCTCCAATTCCATTTGCGTGCATGCCTTGCTGCTCTTCCCGCTTTGCTACGATCCATCATACGTCTCAGGTGGTCTGATTTTGCCTCGTATCCTGCCTGGCGGATGCGGTCTTTCACCCTGGGCTCACATTTGGCGCATACTTGTGGGTACCGTTCTTCAAGGTTCTTACGAAACTTTGGATATTCTTGTTCGTATGCGCCATAGTTTGGATCGTCTGTTGGCGGGAAATATGCGGCGAGAGCACTCGTGAAAAGGTGCTGGTTTCGGATACATTGCGCGCAGAATAGACCGGATCCCGTAATATCAGTCGAGTCGAAAGGGGTGCTCGATACATCCGAGCCGTAGGCATTAGGATTTGTATCTGCTGCTGGGGGGTCCGCGATTTGTCCTTTCTATCACAGTTGCCGAGATGGTTAGCAAGTCTTTTAGAAACACGAAAAAGAATAGAAAAGAAAGGGACCTACTTCATCCAGGTAATTTATTGCCTCACAAGCGTTACAGCGCCATTTGCGGATAGGACCTTTTTCAGTCTGTGCAGACCGTCTCCCGCAATAGAAGCAAGTTATTCGCTTTGCGAAGAGAGGAGCCATCTCATGTCCAAAGTGTTGACATTGATAGCGGGAAGGTTGTTGATGGAGCAACAACCTCCCATCTAACGATGGGCAGGAGTTAAGACAAAATAATCGCCGAGTCGCACGGACCACGTGCCCGATCATCACCCGCAGCATCGGTCGAAGGACAAACAATCAAACATTTCTACACAAGTGCCGAATTTTGTTCAGTTGTTGGTACATGCCGTTACTAGCCTCGTCTTGATCGTTAACTTAAACAATAGAGAGAGCTAACAATAATGCCAATCAGTTGACCGTGCTATACCACTACTGAGGATTGTTGTTACTTATCCTTATCTGTCAACAAATGTTACTGATGGCGCCTGCAGCAGCAACCTAACATACGTTTGGTTTCTTTGATCGTATTGCCGGGTCCATTGATAGCTTTCCAACGTCGGAGATGACACTCCTGACGCAGTGGCCTCTGAGAAGCCTACTTTGGATGTTCAGCATAGGAATTGTGGTTGGTGCATCAGCATTCATTGTAAGCCCCTAGTGTTGGCATACATCTAACCATCTCTCTTCATCCGTGACTAATACTCATACCCTCCCCTACAGATCTTCATCTATGTCCTATACTCATCACAAAATACTAACATTCCTAAATGGCGCTCGAAACACACACCGACCCATCTTCTCGTTGTCTTAGGCAGCGGCGGACATACGGCCGAAATGTTCTCCATGTTACGACGTATAAAGCTCGATCCGTCTCAGTATACATATCGCACATATGTTGTGAGCTCGGGGGATAATTTCAGCGCCACGAAGGCAGTTGAGTTCGAGACTCGTTATTTCAATCACGGCCGAAGAGCACCTGCGACCGACTGTAGCCTAGCAGAATCGTACACTATTGTGACTGTGCCGCGCGCACGTCGTGTACACCAGTCATTTTTGACGGCGCCTCTTTCAACCCTCAGATCTTTCTGGGCATGTCTTCTTGTCCTGCGTGGACAATATGCTGACCAAAAGCGGCTTCCTTCATCAATGATTTCGCCGTATCCGGATGTGATTCTTACGAACGGTCCTGCTACGGCGGTTTGCGTTATACTATCTGCTAGGCTCCTCCGTCTCTATAGTTTCATCAGAGGCTTCGTTCCGTTCAAAACGGTTTTGGGAGGTGAAGATTTAGCACCGACTGATTACCAACTCCGTACGATTTTCATAGAATCATGGGCCCGTGTGACAACTTTGAGTCTATCGGGTAAGATACTGTTACCTTTTGCTGACCGTTTCCTCGTTCAATGGCCTGGACTAGAAGGAAGAAGAGCGTGGAAAGGCATGAGAAAGACGGAATACGTGGGCATGCTTGTGGATTGAATGTGGCCCATATTGTCCCGAGGCCATTATTAATCTCTTTTCGGTGTATTTATGTGTGAATGTACACGAAAGCCATTTGTGAACGAAATTTAGGAAGACTCGTCTACTCCTTAGCACTCAAAACGAAAACAAGGACGGAATGGCGAGGCGATCGCTTTCTTCGTCCTTTCAATATTGTGAGGGGCTAAATCGGTTCAGAATTCAAACTCGGCCATAAGAACGTCTATTCATTATTCAACAGCCCCCCTCCCATTTGGCCATAGAAAGTTTTTATGATCCACTTCTCTACTGAAGGTTAGGGATGTCCCGCAAAATTAAAACTTAAAATAGTGTTGGCGTCAAAGCAGGACTAGCATTAACAATTATATTGGTATCTTGACGTCAGTTATACAAGTCAGTTGTACAGTCAGGAGCCGCACTTTTCCTTCCCATTTGTGTCTTCATTGCAGAGGATTGTAGAATGGAGTATAGTCTGAGCCGTTCGAGGAAAATGTTCGATCACCAACCATCCGCGCCTTGAGAGCGGCGCGAAGGGCGTCCGCATTCTGTTCGCCCTCGACTTTCATTTGGTTGATGCGGAGAAGTTTGCCATCTTGTGTGAATACGTAGACACCTTTTCCTTGTCGAGACTCAATGGGATGAGCGCCATCCACAAAGGGTAGGCCTGGGACCACAGCATACGCTTCGCTCCCTTTCATCGGTTCAACTTCCTCCATCTCGGTGAAAATCACCCGCCGGTAATGAAAGGACGAAGGGTTCACTGTAGCATCGTTGTTTACCAAAGCCTTGCTCCATAAAGGCCCCAGTACACGAATCCGCCTGCTGATATCTAACCAGGTCCAATTTGCCCAGTTGATATGGCGGTCCTCAGGCTTGATCTTAGCTGCATGTATCAGGGATTCATGTTCTTCTGGCGAACGCCACCCGGCATCGTGGACCGGAGGAACGAACAGGCCCTTTCGGATACCGTCGACAAGAATCTCGGCTCCCTTGGGAGCAACAAGGTTTAAGAGTTCTGGTACGGTACATGACTCAGGCTTTGGGATCTCGAATCCGGGTGGCGAGGTCTGCTGTAGAATGACGCCGTGGTCGAAGTGCTTGAAATCTAAGGTCTGCAAAGTGACCCCAGTCCTAGTTCTGCCAGCCAAAAGAGTGTGATGAAGCGGAGCGGGACCACGGAAGCTGTTGTTTACCAATTAATTACCGGTATGACACTCTCGACCGTTTACTTATACTCACTCAGGGAGCAAAGAAGGGTGAACATTTAGACCCCCATACTTTGCACCATGGAGAATCCGTGGAGGCACAAACAAGCCGAAGGATACTGCTACTATAAGGTTGACGGGACCCCCAGGTAGTACAGGTGGCTAACAGAGTCAGTAACACTTCAGGGCCCCGAGATTGTCTCTATAATACCGTCCATCCTCTGAAGGTATCTATCTCATGAACCGGGAGCGAAAGGTCGGTTGCCGCAGCTTTGATGGGGACTATCGAAAGAAACGTAAGTCTAGTCCCTTATCTCTTCGACTTGTGGAGGTAAGTACCCTCGCGTATTTTTTTCAGGCCTCTTCCAACCCTTTTACCCGGTCTGCAGACGACATCAATGGAGGATATCCGATCTGGTCGATCCAGATGTTCCTTGTGGAGAGCTTTCAAGGAAGCTATGCTGAACTCATCAGAGCCGCAAAAGAGTATTCGGAGGGGCTCATAGGTCCTTGTCGCAAAGAATCGATGTGCGAAATATCGGCTAGTTCTAGCGCGTCTGTATATACAGAGCGCCCCGGGGCCCCGCGGAAGAAACATTGCGTGGGAGCTGCCAAAGCGTACCTACTTCACCGGCTAAGACTAAAGCTCCGGGAAGCTCCCCGAACACTCGAAAACACTAGCACGTGATGTCACCGCATCACATCCAAGTCGATCAGCGATATACTCCCCCACCTTTGACCATTGCACCAGCTGACGGTGATTTACGGTTCACGATATAATGATGCGATGTCAGGGAGCGATCTTGCTTCGGTAGTGCCGGCGCAACTAGCATATCTAACTATATACAACCCCCTCCTTGGACCGACCGACGAAACAATACAGGACCAAATCGTCTTCTACACTTCCAGACCGGATCGACTGCCACGAAGCGAGCGCTCTACGACTGAAAATGAAAACAAAGAAACCAATGATGGGTGGAACGTGAGACTGCGCCAGATAGGACTGGCGCAGGGCATGGTGAGCTTCGCCAGGTGGGGACCGCTGCTTTGACACCCAACAGAACTATACTGAACAACCGGTGTAGGAACTTTTCAAAAGGGCAGGCAGTCGACTACGTGGAGACAGACAAGTCACTTATTGTGCTACATGAACTCGAAAAGAATTGGTGGATCTTAGCTGTAAGCTTGGCCTTGAAGAACATGCCATGACGATAGATACTGAGATCGCTCTAGTCAATTGACCTGACTCGGCTTCCAACCCACTCTTCCAGTGGACCTTCTTCGCAGCACGATGCTTCAGAGGCTTCCTCTTCTCATTACTCTTCACGAGAGATGTGTCCTCCCCATCATCTGATTCAGCAACTACGCCGAGCGCATTCCATTTTCCTTCTTCATCATGATATCACACTGAACGCTCTATACGAACGTGTTGGCAGGTCCACACTCTGCCCCCTCCTAGAGAACTTCTGGTTGCGATTTGCATGGAACTGGGATATTCTTCTAAGTGGGAACCCTGCTGTGGATGTGTATAATGGCATAAAACTTTCTGCTGGCGGCGAACTGGGCATTGGTGTCGGCGAGGAAGAGTGGGGAAGCGGGGAGAGGGAGGTGTTTGAAGACTTCGTGGCACGGACAGATGGCCTTGTGGATCTAGTGGTGTCTCGATTTGGTGACCCGACTACGCCTGGTGAGTCTGCTGCAACCGCAAATAAATCATCAGATACCATGCGCGAGGACGATGGAACGCACTGGCTTGGCTTAGACACATATCCTCGACCATCAGACGGTGTTATATTCTCAGGTGTAGGAACTATCTCCAGGCCTTTTGTGGTGCGCATCTCACAGTGGATGGAGTGGATCTACAGATACGGCATCGACGCGTATGGGGTGGGTGAAGACCCAACTTCACCACGACGTCGAAAACACCGAAGGAGGCAACGAGGTCGCTCTGGAAGAGATGCAAATGCAATACCACAAGCCAGAGAAACTCTCCAATCTAGAGACACAGATGGCAGTTTCTCTCCAGGTATACCACGCCCACTGGTGATGGGGACGACACAATCAACGCAGCCTCCACAAGGGCCTGATGGAGTAAACCTACAATCTAGCGGTGAAAGCTCCCCAGCAAGAAGTGAGAAAGGCAGTGATTGGATGGGTGTGACAACTGGTGCATTTGTGAAATACCTCACGCTCGGATACGGTTCGTCCTGGAGCATGTCTAGGACACCTAGCGCACATCCCCGCGTTGAAGCGTTGAAGCGAGAAGACGACTCAGCCAACTCGAACAAGCAGACAGGTCCGCCTACAGATGGTCAGGAGGGATCTGAAGAAAGTCCTTCTCTATCTGAGGATCCTCCCAAACCTGAAAGTCGTGGTAGATTTCTCATCGGTTTAAAAAATGAGACAGCGAAGGGAGATAGTAGGTCTTTGGAGACTGATCCAACAAACAAGAAATCAAAGGATAGAATAAGTCAGAGGACGTTACATATGTGCTTGGCAAACCCATCAGAAGATAACCCATCAGGTCGGTACCACGCTGCATCACTCTTTTTGATCTCAATGCTAAAACCGATTGACCTCTAGGCACAATACAACAACGAGCAGTAGTCTACATAGTAAGTCATTCTTCTCTTCCATCATATTCCCGAGCATTCACTGAGGAGGAAACAGCACAAACCTTTCATCTATACTTTTCTATTCGACCCTCAAGCTTCGTCTCTGGCAGACCCATCTCTCTATCACAGTATCCACCACCAACTACAACCTCTCCAAGGGTCACTCAACAAGTCGACATCACCTGCAAACGCTGCAGCCAGAATCTCCGTATCTGGCAATTCATTTGATATCAATCAACGATTCTCAGCCGAGAATCTACCGTTCTACGATCTTGTCTACGACCCAACAAATCTAACTATCCGCTCTTCAATCCCCAACATCCCTGACCTCAGTTTCTCCTCTGTAGAAGCTCCGCGAGATCCCAGCGCAACTCCCTGGTCGCGTGTCGAAAGCCTCAACATCCACCACCGCCTACTGAGCACCTACATAGAAACCCGATCCCGGCCGCTCGAACTAGAAAGAACCTGCAAAACAAGTCGTGGCTGGTGGATTGTTTGGGTACGAATGTCCGACCCATCATACAAACCCACCAGTGACGATAGTAGCACCTCTCAGCCCGACGACCCTCGCCAGGAGGCATTCCTAATCCGGAAGGCAAGTGACCATGTCTCGACGTCTTCGCACGCTCGCAGCCATAGCGGGACTCGGTTCTTCAGGGATCTGGGCGGTGCGTCTTCGCCGGGACTATCGGATATGGGGCCGGCCAAGTTGGCTGAGGGGTTGGGGCTGGATGCAAGGCGCTATATTGAAAGTTTACTCAATCTGAACCGATGATTCTATGAAAAGGTACACTCTTTTTCGGTGACGATTGGCTTTTTTATTTTTATTTTCTCTTTATTTTCGAGGGACGTGGAGGGTGTAATATTGAAATTAATACTCCGTAACGAGTTGTTTTTCCCCCAAAGAAGGAGCGCTGCCTATTCTTACAGGGTATAGAAGTATGTACATGTCTTACTACCCCTGAAGCAGTAGTACTAGTACAATAATTACAGGGAAGAGGGAGGGGACCACTTTTCTCAAGGCATCAAGCCTTGTCAATCAGGTCACCACCTAAGGAACTAAATTAAGGATAGATATATCACTTCAATTCTCTCTCCTGTGTTAGTCTAATTCAATTCCTTTTTCCCCTATCTGACAGGAGGTACGTAGCTGCCATTTCCATAATTAGGCATGCTGGACTAATGCAATCCTGCGTAGTCTAAGGTGCTAATGCTAACGGGCCGTCCACATGTTACTATCAATAGTACGATCTTACCAATGGTTGACACTTCTTCCTGTAATGGAACGCGATACCAAGATTTACCGGTATTTCTACTGATAGGTAGTCAACACGCCGTACCATACCCCGAGGTCTTGAGGATAACACATGTGCTTGATGCATTTCACGAAATATGTATCAGCGGGTAAGATAGCACACAGGGTACAATGACATCAGAAGAACCATGCAGATGCAAATCGCAAAGGAATAGGATGTGCATTGATTAGTAAATAATAAGTTGAAGGGGTGATGGTGTTTGGTTTCCCATCAAGGCCCTGATGATCAAGGGAATAGCGTCAAGGAACTGGCCAAAAACCAAAGACAAAATGAATCCATGCATTCTCTTAACCGAAAGCAACACACAAAGAAATAAAGAAGAACTCTGCTGGGGAAATCCGAAGTGATAGGAATCATCTATCGTGTCACAGAAATTTCGACTTTCTTTATCAACCTCCCGGAGATCCTTGACTGACGGGACACACACACACACACACACATACATGAGACAACGCCATCCTCAATAGCTCATTTCCGATCTGCACTATTCAGGTACTGATGACCCTGTTTTCCTGCCAGCGAAATGGCCATCCTGCCATAGTGATCGAACCGCCTCGTAGGCGTACGGAGAGCTGGAAAAGAGAAGAAAACCCACAAGGTTATGAAGACAACGCCTCCCTAGGAATAAAATAGAAGAAGTCTGCAAAACAAGAAAGTCGACCAATAGCATAGCCAGATAATCCCATAACCCTCGTGTGCCCCGTGATTGAACATTATCCACACTCGCATCCAGGCACAGATCGGAACACGCCAACGGAGGACCCCTTTCTGAGTAAAAGAAAACACCAAATAGTCGAGACCCTTATCCGTTCATATAATCTCCGCATTAAACACAGACCTTTTGTGAAGGAGATGAAACTAGTTTACAGGATGGTGCACCCCTTCTTCTTCTTGTGAGTCTTGGTCAAGAGAGCAGCCCGGGTGGCGGCCTCGAAGACCTCACGGACACCCTCGTTGGTTCGTGCAGAGCATTCGAGGTACTTGTAGGCTCCGATCTTCTTGCGAACTTCCTCACCCTGAAAGCATAGTTAGCAATATTCTAGTGTTTTACGTTTATGGGGTACGTACCTGTTCGGCGGTGACTGGCTTCTGGGAGGTCTTGGTCAATTCTTCAATAGTCTTGGGGTCGTTGCGAAGATCCTTCTTGCATCCGACGAGAATGATAGGGAGTCCCTGGCAGAAGTGAAGCACTTCGGAAATCCACTGAATTCATCGTTAGTTATGCACACATTCTTCTTCGCGAGCCCCTTTTTAGGATCTCTCCGCTTCGCAAGATGCGGAATCAAGAGCAACTCACCTTCTCCTGAACGTTGTCAAGGGAATCGGGCGAGTCAACCGCGAAGCAGATCAAGATGACGTGAGAGTCAGGGTACGAGAGAGGGCGGAGACGGTCATAATCTTCCTGACCAGCCGTATCCCAAAGAGCGAGCTCGACACGCTTGCCATCAACCTCGACATCGGCAACATAGTTCTCGAAGACAGTGGGGACATAGACCTGAAGAAGTTAAGGGTCAGTTCGACGCGTTCCGGTTGAATAGGGAGATGTCACAGATCGGGTTGAATATCCGGTGATAACTAACCTCAGGGAAGGTACCCTTGGAGAAGACACTGTACAAAGCATGTCACAGTCAGCAGTCTCTTCTTGTTTTAAACACACAGACGTAGTGTGGATGGAGGTACACTTACATCAAAAGACAAGTCTTACCACAGGCACCATCACCCACGATGACAAGCTTGCGACGGATTTCGGCCATCTTCAAGTGAAAAGGATCAGTAAATGATGGAAACTAGAATTATCAAATGGAATAGATTCCAAATGAGGTGAGTGGCAAACAACAGGGAAAGAAGGGGAAGCTGTTGCGGGAGTTAAGTTGGATGGCGGAGAGGAGGTTAGAAGGCTGAGAAAGGGACAAGTCAGGCGCCCGAGGAAAAGGGTTATCACATACGGTGCAGGAGCAACGGCACTGATTAAATTATAGGGAGAGGGAAGAGAATAAAAGTGGTCAAAAGGGAAAACAAATGGTTTGGGTCGGGAGAAAGAGATATAAGGGAACAAGAAAAGGAATTTAGAATATGGGTTCAGTCAAAGGACAATAACGGGATAATAGTCTCCAGGGGAGCTTAAGATGAAGGATGATTGATGGATGGGGTGGTGGAAGACAGTGGTAAAAGGGTAACGGGCCTGTATGGGAGCGAAGGTTATCGGCGTTGGCTCTGCTCTCGTTTGGTTCCCCCGGTTGGCCTTTCAGGTGAGGCTCCCTAAGTTGACTAAGTAACCAAAAACCAGACTAAAAAGCGCTGAAACGGTTAGCAACAAGCGATATTTTACACAGATAAAAAAGGCTATGTGGCTGTGCTTTTGTTTCTCTTACAACTTTTTTTTTTTGCACTATTTTTAATTTTCTAAATTCCTTTTTTTAACCTGCGAACTTTGTTTCCTACCTGACACTAATGGAGAGGAGAATAAAAAAAAAGGTTTACTTCCTCTTCTCTAATAAGAAAAACATAAGTAAAGCAACAGGGATTTCCTTTTTTCCTCACGGTCCCAAAAACATTCTACTTCCCTCCCTATTCACATGCTGGTATCTTGGGTGCCTAGTTTTCAGTCGGCTTTCCATCCTTATTGAAGCCACCGTGGCTGGTCATACAATTGGTTGTAATTCCAGTACCGTATGGAAGTAGCACTCCGTCCGCTTACCGCCTTTGCAGGAAGTACCGAGAGGTATGTAATTTAATTTCAAAGCCATTTTGAGTTACGAGCTTTCCAATCCAATGACAATTTTCTATCTCGGGAGTCTCTCATCCACCCACTTAATTGACCCGATCCACCGGAGATCCCAAATGCCCTTTGACGGTCGAACCAATGTTATCAGTTCCGATACTGGTTACATTGGTCATTGAAGCAGAATAATTCATACAGCCACCGAAAAACATGCACATATATACCTGGTATCTGTACTACATGTTGTAGTCGAGCTTAGGAGTACTAATTGCGTGGACACGTCAATCCTTCAATTATAGTCGGAGCCTAGACACACGGTGGGCACCTTGTATGCTCGGATTTATCGGTTATGGCTCCATTCTTAATATTAGTTCTCCTATAGGTATTATTAGGGACATGATTCGCTTGACAAAAGTCGGATACGCGAAATACATAATACATAGGTAGCAATAATCGATAATACCATGGTACTAAGTACATACTTCCCTAAATAATCATAAACTGTGCTCACGAATAATGGGCGAAAGGGAAAGAAGCATGACCTGATCGTCATAATCGCAACTTCTCATTCCATCGATGATAAGCATTCATGCTCTTATCAGGCAAACTTATTGTTCAATGGCATCATTTAACTTAAATACCCCGGGTCCTGCGGTAGAGGACCTTACAGAGCTTGTCTTGCTTACTCCGTACTAGTAGTAGACCGGACCAAAGTAGTACTCCGTACAGAGTACATGTGCATACTATGTACATATGAATCACATCATAATTGTATGGGTCTTTGGGGAGTGTACAATACGTGGCGGTGCACTCCTAGCTGCGCCCACCCCTTAAAACTACCGTAACCAGTATACTATATACTTACTCCGTACTAGTCCCAGCAATTCAATACAAACTTTATACATCTCACGTGTTCATTATATGAAACTACTCTGGGGTAACCTCTCCTCCTCTTCTGGCAATTTGCTCGCAAGTGCGAAGGCTCCCACAAAACGATGTCAAATATTCTCACAAGCGGTCATACCAGCCACCACCCAGGTCTGCGCTTATTACCGGCTTGTAGGAAGGCCTCAGCCACGGTTAAACCCAGTGCAGTGAACGCCTTGCAGCAAGTGCAGATATCTTTCTCACTACCTTTTATCTGGGAAACGGCTGTGACTCAGTCCGATATGCAACCATGCTGGTTGGTCCACCTTTCTAACTGGCTGTGAGGATTCATTGGGCCGTCCTTGCCGGCATTGTTACTCTTTGGATCAATGGTGATTCCATAATACATTGCCGCATACAGCCTATGCAGCACTCGACAAGAATCCTGACAATGTGACTGACGCAATCAATGGTGATCACGCCCCTGTATATGCTGTCTAACTGCATCAAGCATTTGCTCTTTCACCCGTGACATCATAATTGTCATGGATTTTGCAAGGCTAGATGGGAAAGCTCCTGGGGGTGATGTAAATTTTTTGTCCCTTGATCATAAAAGAACATTGCCCTAGGCAACCCGAAAAAAAAATAAAAAAATAAAAAAGAAGAAGAAGGTTTGACTCGTCTTACGACTCCTACATGACCAGGACCAGTCAGCCTTGCACACACAATAAAGAGTGCATATGCATACTTTTAGCTGAAGGTGGAATCTGCAGAAAAGCCTAGCTGAGGACGAGACTCCCCTGGAATTCGATACAAGTCCCTATCGAAAGCTTCCAACCCAAAAAGGGAAAGACAACAAGAAGGTCTCGTTAACATACAACAAAGCCATAAAGCAATCTGTGATACATTAATGCCTGCCTAGGTATGGTCCGGACCTAAAGGATAGTTTGTGGCGCTGGAGTGGACATACTCTCCGGCAGTGAGGCTAGACCATTCTTCATAGCTCTGCATATCTGAAGTGCCGCTGGATTTCCCAGATCCAGGCCCTAAAATTCCTGCGCCCAAGTAACTCTTGTCCTTGCAACCATAGCATTCACTTCTAGGACCCAGAAGCCACTTGGCGTTGCTCAACTGACCTGTCCAGGACACAAATGTATGGGGAGGTTAGACCTCGGAAAGTTGCCGTTACCTTATTGTCGATATTCAGTACTGTAAGCTACCCTGGAGGCAAGTTTTCATGCTTCGAAATTGTAGGAAGTGTACCATTTCACAGGCATCCCGTTTCTTTCTCCTTCGTATGCAACGTCACTGGTGGTAACGCATCCTCTGATATCTTTTTGACTTGCTATGTCTTTCTCAAAGCCACTCATACGGTACTACCGTGTTGATTCTATGGGGTAACGCATTGAGTCAGCAACTTAGTTAAGAAATACAAAATACAGACGGATATATCGCAACGAGTGATTACGATTTATCAATCAAACTTTACATTGTACGTTTTCCATACACTCTTGTGGCTCATCACATTGCGACAAAGGCCAGATAAATGCCTTGTGTACGAAGTACAGTGCTATTACCTTCTATCAGAGTAGGCATATACCTCATCTACTGAGGCATACCCCTATCGGATCTTCCCATTGGCTCCTTGATCTTGAGTGACTTTTGGTCACGTGATTGTGACGGCCGCAATTTTCCCTCCCGGGGCATCATCCGGTCCCTGGAGATTCCGCGGAAACGTCGCTCAGCCATTGCTGGTACCGTACCATTCAATATGCAGAAGGTCATCCGGAGGACGGCTTTGGCAAGAAATCAGGCCCAGCGGAAGGCAGTTCGAGCTGCTAAAGATGCTGAGCGTGAAGAATTCAAAGACCACCTGAGACAGCGGTTCGCTTTGAACCGCATCGAGCTCGATAACATCCGCGCTGAGAGACAACGACGACGAGAGGACTGGCTCCGCGGGCCTCTAGCACCTCAGCGTGATGCCGGCTTTGAGGGCCAATCGTTCGGTGCCCTGAGCCCTCAGGCAATGAACCCACCACCTATCCCCAAGCACCTAAGGAGGAAATATATCAACATCGCCGTGGGAGATCGAGTGTGTATCATGAAGGGCCGGGATAAGGGCAAGATCAATGAGGTCGTCCGTGTTGATACAAGCAATGAGACGGTTAACGTGAGGGATCTCAACATGGTATGCTTCTGCGGTTACATGCACTGTCCTCATGGTATCTTCGCTCCTGACTGACTCTTGACATTCCGCAGAATGATGTGCATCTTCCCAGTTGGATCAACTCACAATACGGAAATAAGGGCACTGTCAATGCGATGGCCTTGCCGATTCCCATCGATGATGTCCGCCTCGTCGTTGCCCTTGACGATCCAGCTACTGGACAAACACGAGACGTCTTGGTTGAACACGTTCACGGCGGAGAGCCAATCCTTGAACGGGAACATGGCACGGAGACCCCCAGGCATACCAGATACATTTCCGGCGAAAACATCGAAATCCCATGGCCTCGCCGCGAGCCTCCAGTTTTGAATGACGAAGAATGGGATACGCTACGTATGGAAGTTGAAACGCCGACTTGGACACCATCGCTGCACTATGCACCCTTCCCTCCCAGTGTTCTGGATGAGCTCCGGAATAAGTTCTCGAAATACCGTACACGGCACGATCCGGAATGGGTCGAGGCGAAGAAGATGGAAGATTACAGAAAGGAGTACCTTCAAAGCAGGTCTTTGTTGACACCGAAGGGTGAACTGATGGCTATGATACGGGCCAAGAAGGAGGAACGCCTGAACGCGAGAAGGGATGCCAATGGCAATATACTCATGGACGACCAAACGGCCGGATTCATTGAGAATTTCTTGAAAGAGAAAGTGGCGAACAAAGCGTAATCAGCTTAGATGTGATGGGATGTGTGTCAGAGGAGTAATTTCTGTCCCCCCTCTTACTTGTTTGAATGTTGGATGTATACAAATGTACCACTGTAGCATAGAATATGATTGTATAAGATTACCGGGTTAGGTTTTCGCTTTACATTCCAGACCTGTGGGTGAATCTACGGGGGAAGGAAGCAACATGGTCAGATCGGGATGTCTCTGAAGAGCCAATAGGACTAATGATTGATCACTATAAAGCCCCCCGGTTGCGTTTGGACTATCTTTGGTCGACAGCCGCCAGGGGAGTGGTTCGCAATCTCTCTTTTCCATCTCTCCGCGCCCGAAGTTTCCATCCCCCATTTCTCTCTTCAACCTCCACGCAGCCCCATTCCTCAAGACATCCTGTTCGGCTTTGTTAACCTGGGGCTGCTCTTTCCCAAATATGGCATTCGCCGCAATAAATTCATCGGCTACCAAAAAGATTCCAGCCATTGAAGATGCTTTCGCCGCCGAAACTTCTTTGAAGAAGCGAGTCTACGATGCGATCGGTGCGTAACCCAACAACTGACACGGGTCCAGGAGCGAAAGAGAATTGACTCGTGTCCGTTCCGGCTTTACAGTGACTACCCCACAATATATACCTCTCTTCGAGGACATTGCCAAATATACCTCGAGCCTGCTGGTCAGGAATGCGAGCGCCCCCGTTCAGCCTGTAGAGACGCATACAAACGGCCCTGCGGCGAAGAAGCGAAAGCTACAGAATGGAGATACTGCAGGACAGGCGCAATCGTCAGGCGATTTGAAAGCCGATGCGCCCTTACAATTCTATATGCAGGATGTTTCCTTCGCTGTTCCACAACGGAAAAAGCTTACACTCGAAATTACGGCCGGGCGCGGTTTTCTTCGCGCAAGGAATCAGACATCGAAGGTAGTGGAGTTTGGCATCCACGTGGACAAAATACGTAAGTTTGGTGGCCAGACTCTATGACTTCGGCGCTAACTATGCTGTTGGTCGATCCAGAACATGTCCTTTGCCTTCCTGTTCCGGAAAAGAATCAGAAGCAGTTCAACTTCTGTATTATCCCTCAATATGGCGATGGCATAAATTCACCACCGGAGGGCGAAACTGCCCCCGAGGCGATGGTGTGGACGGTCAACGACGGCCCTCCCAAGGCGGCATTCTCGGGCAATGGAGAACAGATGGGAAATAACGATGGCGAAACAGCTGAGAATGTTGTTAGGCAAATGCTGAATGAGAACCTATTGCAGACAAAGGTGGTACGTCCAGATGAGAGGGAATTTGTCAGTGCCATGCCTGAAGCGCATCGGAAGGGAGAAAAAGCGTATCATGTCAAGGCCTTCCGTGGCAGTAAGGAAGGTACAGTTACCATCAGCGGATTCCGATATTTGTTTGTCTTCAGCTAACTCATTGTCTACTATAGGCTATCTCTTCTTCTTATCCACAGGCATACTATTTGGATTCAAGAAGCCCCTAGTCTTTTTTGCTTTCGAGAACATCGACTCGATCTCATACACTTCTGTGCTCCAGCGAACCTTCAACCTTAACATTGTGGCTCGGCCTACTTCGAGTGATGAAACGCAAGAACTGGAGTTTTCTATGATCGATCAGGCGGACTTTGCCGGTATCGATGCTTACATCAAGAAGCACGGTCTACAAGATGCTAGCCTTGCAGAGGCCCGACGTGCGAAGAGATATAATATTAATGGAGCGAAGATTGGGGAGGAAGGTGCTATAGATGCAGAGGGTCCTGTTGAGGAAGAAAGCGAGTTGCAAAAGGCGCAACGCGAGCTAGACGACGAGGATGACGAGGATGAAGAAGACTATGATCCCGGCAGCGATGATAGTAATGATGGTAGTGGTTCCAGCAGCGAGGAAGACTCCGATGAGGACGGTGATGATGATGAGGAGGAGGGGGAGGAAGAAGGGCGAGACGTTCTCGCAGATGAGCTTGGAAGCGAGGCAGAGAATGTTCCTGCTGACCAGCAGTGATGGAATACTTGTCATACTTAAAGCACTGTACGAAATACCGGACGCTTCATGGTTGCGATGTCATATTCATCTCGGTGTATTGATCCTCTGCACGTAAGACCAGTCAAGCGTAGGTTGTTGATGTTTCATCTTGACCACCTTCGGCTTATATTTTTCATCTCTCACTCTTCGTCCAGCATGTATCGATGTGACACTCTACAGATAGACCACAACTTCAGCAGCGCCCCTGCAGGAAACCATGCACATACATCATAATCAGATGTGAGGCCTCAGCCCAATCACTCCATTTCACGTAGAACCGTTTCAAGGCCGCATAGTGTGGATTTCAGCCGCCAGGAAGTGCACCACTGCCCTACAAGAATTTACATGCGAAGACTGTTTGGTGGGTCACCTACGTGTCGGGTGGAGCTTTTCAATGTTTTGGGTGGCTGTTCAACTGCGTATGCCGCTTGTTGCTAGCAATGCATATCACCAGGGTTTATACGGAGAACTTGGTTGATATATGCCTGCAGACAAGAGAATCAACAGCACCTTTCGCTACGCACTGACGGTGCCTCCCAAGACCCCGCGCCTTCTAGTGACTAGGATATGCATCCTGCGGCGGTAAGACGTAACTTATAACTCTAGCGCTCTGTGTTGCTTCCTACGAGGTCTATTGGATACATGATATTCTGGTTAAATGCTTTATATCATGGGTTTCTGGGTAAAGCATAGCCCTCCTTGTGGCTTAGGAGCGGTCTCTACATGAATATATATTTATAGGACGTATCATGATCTACAAACGGAGTTAGAATCGGCTCCGCCGCCAACCAATACAATTGTTAATACCAACCCGATAATTAACCAACAGAGAAGCCATGTCCTATGTATTTCTCAAACCCCCATAGATCAGGATGAGCTCCTATGGTCTAGTGGGATGGAATTATCAATCTACGGAGCCACAAAAGCAGAATCATTGGCGGATGTTCCATAGTGGAGTATCTCTAGCAGGGACTCAGTTGGCACATATTTGAAAGTTAAGAGAGATCGCCCATGATTACTTTGATGTAGAAGTAAAGAGCCTAGAGAGGATTGTCCACTAACAGGACGCTTCGCAATACTGATGCTTCCCAACGATCGGTGTGGCTGTTGTAACCACGGACCTGCAATCGGGGTTGATAAATAGGGCAGGTTTTAGGGGGGCGGGGGGAGGGGATCCAAAATCAGCCTGACCGTGGTCCCTAGTGGCGTGATTTTAATCTGGTTACTAGGAGGAGTACCTAGTATCTGGGTTCCTTTTGAAAGGGGGCGATACTATGTATATGTCTTACACGGTCTACGAGTAGTACTTGTAGACTTGTAGATGAAGACTAGGTATGAACTTTTTTCTTCCAAGAGTTCAACGATACGCCGAGGTTCGACATCCTTGCTTGTTGTGCTTTTTCTCTTTTCTTTTCAACTTCCTTTTCAATCTTTTTCTTTCCCCCCTCTCTCCCAAAAAAAAAAAAGTGGCACCTTCTGATTAAGGAGTGGCTTTGGTCCCATTTTCCCAAATTCGGAAATCTAAGCTACCCGGCGAAAGGGTGCGTGCTCAAAGCCGATGTGTTCTCCTGAATGGCGCGTTCGACCGAGTTAACATGTTCTCTGATAAAAGACGCGAACAAAGCCACTATTGGGTATTCCTCGGAATATGTACGGAGTAGTACTACAGACGATGGAAACGGTAGAAGAAACTGATCTCTAAAATGCCGCAGGGTATAGATTGGTCAGGGGCACCGCCAGCAAAGCAACGAACTAGTCGTCGTTTAGTCCGCGTCTGCCGATGACTGCTTTGAGGAGGAGCTGGTTGACAGCTAGCATTTTGATCTCCGTACCTGGCTTTAAAAAATTAACACATGTATGTTGTCCTGCAGCTATAGACTTCGAGGTTAAAGCGAGGGACAATCCACTCCCGTTGGATGTATGCACCTGGATGTGTTCGCTTATCTTTGTTGGTATGGATATTTATCCATGGGAAGGGGTTGACCTCCCTGGTACAGTACAGTACGAAGTACGGAGGAAGTAGTACGACATTGGGTAGGGGGCCGAAGGACGATGGGAAATGAAAATGAAAACCCCCCCCCAAAGTTCGAGGTAAGGTAAGGTATGTATTAAAATCACGGTAATCATACGGGAATTTTACGCTGCACATGGCCGAGGATCAGTTAGTAGCAAAGGTACTCCGTACCTAGCTCGACAGGGTAATTACGGAATTGAAAAAAATATTGAGTAACCATAGTAACTGTTGGAACCTGCGCATATCCACATGGGTCTCCTTACACAATGAATGTCTCTCAATTGAAATTTTCTATTGACCTAGGTTCCCCAGATTCATGTAACTTTCCCACCCCAGGTTGAATGGACGTCTTGATCCTTGGGTATCTGTGGACGGGGAAGCACGCGACGAACAATGACTGGAACGATTGTTCCTGGATCGTATACATCCATCCATTCCCACGTATTCAAGCTAATCCATCCCCCGTTTGGAATTTTAGCTGCCAGTCTGGCCAGAACGACCCCCGAAATCCACTTACTATCTCCCTAGGAAGTTAGTGTCCGGGCTTCAACCGTTCGTCGCCCAACAGCCCGAGCGCTAAGGGAGCCACTAAGACAGACCAGTGACTCCAGTCCCTGTACTAGGGCAAGTCGAGGTTCCATACGGAATTCCCTGTTTTCCTTGTTCCTCCTGACGAATGTCTTGATTTCGAAGTTCTTCTGATATTGATGACGTTTTTCCTGGTGTACACTCCGTAGGCCCTGTTAGAATGTGTATTCCCTGTCTTTAGTAGATGTACGGTATCTATACAATGACCGAGAGATCTCTGAAAAATACCACGGTTCTCCCCTAGAGGATCTTCAGAGATTATCTTTCCGCTAGTCAATACCGACACTGAACTTATCCATACGCGCTAAGCCCCAAGGCAGGCAGCCGGGTAATGTACTACGTACTAATGGAGGTTGAATGGTACCTCAGCCTTCAGGTACGGAACGAAGTTCGATGGACCAGTGACAAGTCGCCCGCTCGTCGTCCAACCATCACCTTCCCTCCCTCTTGACTTTCCTCCTCTTTCCGCCTCAATTTTTTTTTTCTTTTTTTGTTCCTAATTTTTTCCCTCTCTCCCCGTAGGCTCAGGTGTCCATACCACTGGTGTGTTCCCTATTCACCTAAAGTCCTTTCTATCCACTCATAGTTCCCCATCGCTCTCCCCATTCCCTCGTCCTCCATTACTCTTTCGAACCTCATCCTCTTCCTTCCCCTTCCCTTCCCCATTCTCCCAATCCTTTCAAACCACTGCTCAGTGCGGTTCATCGTACTGCGACGCAGTTGGTGAGTATCAGGGAGTAATTTTCACTTTTTAATTATTTTCCTTTTTCTTTCCTTTTTTTTTTCCCCCATTCCTCGACTGAACCCACTTTTTTTTTTCTTTTTACGATCCTCCCTTTTCCACAGCGCACCTTAAACTGTCAACCTGCAGCTCCGACTGTCGGCCTACCGGAGATAATTGCCTGTACTTCACTTCCGTGACCTTTCCCCATCAAACGCTTCCAAAGGATATACAATTATCTCTTCGCCTGATACTATCGGTGCGACTTGTTCAGACAGCCATCGATTTGCCTCCGCCCGTTACCCCCGTCTTGTTGTGCCGGTTCTAGCATACATTAGACTCGTGAATGAATGGTCTAGATCGCAAACAGGCTTTCTGTGAGCCTTTCCCCCTTTCTTTTGCTTCCAATGCAAATAATTATCCCATTCCGGTCGATCGGTGTTAATTGACGTTTACCCTTGTTACCTTGCTGACTGTTTCGATCTATTCGCAGACTAGTCTTTCACGTGCCGAGCCTGCGGATCGAGTCTCCTGACCCGACTGTCCCTTGGTGAAATCAGCCTTCCGCTTACCGTCACCCAATACCCATTGCAACCATGGCATCGTCGTCGTCCAACGTTGTGGGTGTCCACTACAGGGTGGGAAAGAAAATTGGTGAAGGATCGTTCGGTGTAATCTTTGAGGGTACGAACCTTTTGAATAATCAGCAAGTGGCCATTAAATTCGTGCGTGCATCGTCCCGATGGAGGAGCAGGAGATCCGACATACTGACAAATCCAGGAACCACGGAAAAGCGATGCACCGCAGCTCCGCGATGAGTATCGGACATACAAGATTCTGGTCGGATGTCGTAAGTTCTAAACGAGCATACTCATAGTAGAAGACATGGTTCTGATTGAACGCAGCGGGCATTCCCAATGTCTATTACTTCGGTCAGGAGGGTTTACATAACATCTTGGTTATCGACCTACTCGGTCCAAGTCTGGAGGATCTTTTCGATCACTGTAATCGTCGCTTTTCGACAAAGACAGTGGTGATGGTGGCTAAGCAGATGGTGCGTGTACTAACGATCTTGCATACCTAATGTCTAACAGTTATCTTCAGCTCTCTCGCGTCCAAACGATCCACGAGAAAAATCTGATCTACCGTGACATCAAGCCCGACAACTTCCTCATCGGCCGCCCTAATTCCAAGGCCGCCAACGTTATCCATGTCGTCGACTTTGGCATGGCCAAGCAATATCGTGATCCAAAGACCAAGCAGCATATCCCTTATCGTGAGCGAAAGTCGCTGTCTGGTACAGCCCGCTACATGAGTATCAACACCCACCTGGGCCGGGAGCAGTCCAGGAGAGATGACCTGGAAGCTTTGGGTCACGTTTTCATGTACTTCTTGAGAGGAGGTCTCCCATGGCAGGGACTGAAAGCCGCGACGAACAAGCAGAAGTACGAGAAAATTGGCGAGAAGAAACAAACTACTGCGATCAAGGACCTGTGCGAAGGATTTCCTGGTACTATTCACCCATTCCGCCCCCCCTCCTTTTCCTACTTGAGCACAGACATGCTGACCGTTGAACCCTAGAAGAGTTTACGAAGTACCTTACTTATGTCCGCAACCTTGGGTTCGAAGAAGCACCTGATTACGATTACTTAAGAGACTTGCTCACGCAAGCCCTGAAGAATGCAGGAGAGGTCGAAGATGGCGAATATGACTGGATGAAGCTCAACAATGGAAGAGGATGGGAGTACAAGTCGTACTCATCCCAGCAGCATCTCCACAACAATGCACTTCCCAATTCGTCTGCCCGTGAGCTTCATGCTCAGCAGCTACGCAGCAGCCAGAGGCCCGGTGTGACAGCAGACCGTTTAAACGCCGCGCAGCCCCCGCCCCCTTCCCCGGCGAAGCCGGGAGCAGGGAAGACGCGCGAGCGGCAAAACGTCCAAGGCGGGATGCCACCGAAGCGCCAGAGCGGGGGGATGGACACCACACCGACGGTGTCCACTCAGGCACAGTTCCAGAACTCAAACGCAAACATTCCGGGTCGTATGGGAAGCCCAGCCAACCCGACGAAGAATAGCCAGCAAGGCCCAGGCGCTCAAGGGAACAATGAGCCGCAGCCCACTTTCGTTCAGAAAGTGATGAAGGCATTATGCTGCGGTAGGTGACCATGCTGATGCTCAGGTGTCATACCTTTTCGCTTATGCAGCTTTCCAGGTTGATACCCGGTTGAGCACAGGGAATGTAACTTTTACATCATGTTGGCTTTCAACTTTCTTTCGTTCTTTCTTGTCTTCGCGCTCTTGGGAGGGTTGAAAGACAGCATGCAATTATACTCTGTTATAAACCAGACGCTCCCCATCTCCTTGGACCAAACTTGGAAGGCTTTTGCAGACACTGCTGGCAGATGAGCACAAGATGGATAGGGGCGGGTATATTGTTTTCCTTATTCTTCTGTCAACGATGGAATGGGTTTCGGATCGAGCAAACTGCTCGCCCGCCCGGTTTCATCTCGACGCTGCAAAATTAATACAGCTCGAAGCGGACCGGTCACCGACTGGAGCGACCCTCATTTCACACCTCTACGTCTCATCACACTCGTCATCTTCGACACTCTTTTCATGGTGCTACGGCTCGGAACGGCGAATTTGCGATTATTCTGCTTTGTGCGATTTCCTTTTCTTTTTTCCTTTCTCGCATTCTGGCGTGAGCCATTTAATACTAGATTCTTGTGTGTCAGATTACATATCGTTGCCCTACCCTCATCCTTTTTCCGACCATCTCGACCCCTTTCACCTATGGCCGCCTCTATGCTCTCAGTTCATTGTGGCTGGTTCTTCGATGGTAATATTAATGACATGGCGGAAGGGCGTTTGGCATCTGATGGAAGAGTCCTCGCGTTTCAACCAGCAGTGACCTATTTACAAAGCATTTAAGATTATAAATGTTTGAATATGCCGCATGGGATACGTCGCAGGACAAATGGGTCCATCGGTCAAGGAGTTTATGTGGAAGCAGCCTGTGGCTGTTTGGTTTCCCTTTTTTTTTTTTTTTTGTTCTCTTTCTTTTTCTTTTGCCTTTGTTTCTTGTCTGCGTACGTCTTGTGTCTATCTGCAGGGGATCATTCAGATGTAGCCTCATTGGTTGGATTTGTACTTGTCTATACCTTTGCCATTGTCAGCCAAAAGCCAAAACAAGGAGTGGATTGATCAGCTGTGACCCAGTCTCATGCCCCTTAGACGAGACTGATGTGCTTTACTGCCGATCTTGTGGCACTCTCCAGTCGGGTTGTTGCAGGGTCGAAGGGAACCAGAGAGGCAACGTCTTATATCTTTCCGTTCCTCGTTAAATCTACTGTCTGTGTCTATACGTGTTTGAGCAGCGAGTTGATCGTGTGGGTTCAAGATCGCGTTCTTTGATTTGTTGCATTGGGGCTGATCCGCTCTGCCAGTGTATAAGACAGAGTATGATAGCGTAGAGTAATTATACCATAGCAAACAAGTTATGTTCTAGCAGTCTTTTCTCACTATCCGATCGGTCGACGGGGCTAGTTATTCAAGTAGATGGATATGAAGCAAGTATCTATAACCCTATTGGATGTTACTCAAAGTATCAACAAGAACTCCTGCATGATCAGTGACAAGTTGCAGACCGAGACCTGCCGAATCTAGTAGCAAGGCCATGGGCATGGGATCTGAAGGGTGGTAGTATCTCGGCGCAGCAACACTAAGAGTGGCATCCCTGTCCCTGTCACTTCAGGATGGGCCGCCGTTGGCACCGGGATTAGTCTGCCGTGCTGCAGAAACGTTGCTTATGGGTGACCATTGGTTGACAGGTGCAGCTCGTCCCGAGTCCTTCATTCGCGTCTGGGTCTGCTGGCCTGATTGATTGACATCTTCACGTCATTGGAGACGGGGAGGTATGAGGTATGAGGTGGGACATGGATGTCGTCCTCCAATGGGTTCGGTTCGGTTCGGTTCACCTTTGCAACACTGGCCTTGCCTGACTTCCTGACCATCTGTAACTATTTCAATCTGGCTGAGGGGAATGTGGCTTCAAGTCTGACGATTGTTCATGCATGTAACCTCGGATGGATAGAGATATGTATAAGGCATCCCCGTCCCTTGAGAGTAGTAGGAGTAGTACCATGCTCATTCGCTGGACTGTGCTGTGTGCATAATGATCTCCTTCATCTCTTAATGCAACCCAGCAAAGACTACTGTGTATTTTTCTCCCTCGTCGGCGAGTACTGTCACAGGATGAATAGGATTAATTATCCATCTTCTCAGTGGGTACTCATTAAACGGACTGGGATCAGAATCATGGGGTCCCCATCATTCCCCTCTTCGTTTTTCTAAAACCCCCCACAGTCCAAGTCTAGACTTGAGGAGTCGTTTTTTCCCTGTGTAGGACCAATAATGTGAGGCATCATGTATCCGCTGCTAACGAAGTGGTCCTGTACTTATCTTGATTAAGAAGGTCCGTTACTGGCCGATTGGAGTCACCAGTACAAATTATGGAGTCCAATGTAGATTACTAACGACCTTAGCGTAACTATCGTCCTTTAGGCACTTTTTTGAAGATCATGCCACAACATTCTGAGACTGGTGTCTCTCGTGTTTCTTGCTGGCCCCTCTCCTGGTTAACCGTGGATTTGCCGGCCCTTAGGGTATTGATGTCACGAGAGACTGGCCTATCTTGCTTTTGACTCTTGAAACATCATCTGTTGATCATTTAGTCATGGTGGAGAGAGAGAGAGAGAGACACACACACACACACACACACACACACACACACACACACAGAGAACAAATGCTGTCCGTGTGTCCGTGTGCCTAAGTTGTTTGTGCGTCTTTACAGAACGGAGAAATTGTGGATCAATTGATGATGATCGCGTGGTGAAAGTATTTTCCATTTTTCCAATGCTTCTTGTAGGGGAAATTAGGGGACATAACACAAGGGGGGCTCCCTTATATTCCATTATCGCGATCCATGCGCACTGGCACGAACATCCACACCGTTCCAGAAAGAATCGTCTACACCGTTAGTTCGTTGTCCGCCAACTGTTTCCAACGTGTCTTCCAATTTGCGACCCCATGACACGTGGATGTGATACGTTGTTTAGTAGGATCCCGACTTGGGAGCTGTTGGAACCGTTTGGAAATCGACTAAACCTTCTTATGCCAGGCTGGGCTTGATTGGTAGCGATTGAGGGGGGCATCCGGTTCTTGAGCTGTAGTTCTCTCACTAGCTATTCTGATAGCTCCCATGCATTATGCATGTACCTTAGGTAGGTCGGTAGTAGTAGCTTGTCCATACGTTTTCGATTTTCTTTGCCTTTTTTTTTTTTCTTTCTTTTTTGCTTTTTCTTACTATCTATATTATTCTATACTCCGTAATATCTCCACAGAGGAACTAAACACGAAAGGTTACTATTAAACGAGCTATATGTGGTGATAATGCGGCGTACTTCGTGAGTTCGTCTCCGGTCATTGGCTACATTTCAATATAATATTTCATTCCACCACTAACTAACCAAGTCCTCAACCTAAACGCAAATTGCGACAAGCCCAAAAAAAAAAAAAAAAAGAGGGACCACAACCGAGTCAGTGACACCCGGCTAAGGCTTGATCCAAATTAGCGATTGCGTACACCGTCCTTGATATCTCGCAAGAAGACACCCAAATCTCTCGAACAACCAGATAAACTAAAAGTCGATCCACTTGTGAACTAAACCGATAGATACCTAAGATAGTGCTTCGCGCTGTTCCGCTACCCATTAGGGGGGAGGTCCCACTCCGGTTCCTCGGAAAACTATGTCTTTGTCTCCATCTTTTTTCTCCTTCGTATTATCAATTTGTCCCAATGATAAGGTCATATCTTTTCACGTTGCATGTAAGTAATGGGTCCTATTGGGTTGGGTTCGTTTACTAAAGAAATATAAAATATCCATCACACTTACTCCTACTTTATCCGGAGTATAGCCGCACTAATCCCAATAGACGGATAGAACCATTGATCGAAATTCAATTTCTATAGGTAGTTTATTTAGAAGAAGGAAAAAAAAAAAAAAAAAAAAACAGGGAATCAGGCTCAAGGTGTATAGTGGATACATATACTTCTATCGAACTATACTCTGTATACGGACTAGTAGCGGCATAGCCCGACCGGCGATCAGAGCCTTAATTTTTGCCACAGTTTTGTTTGATTTTTTTTTAAAATTTTTTTTACCCTCTGTGGGGGCTTAGGATGAAAAGTTGGATATTGAAAGTTGTTGGATAGTGGAGCTCAGCAACGACGATATCGGGTAGAGCAATCTCTATCTATAGACGCCGGTGAGCACGGTTGGAGTCGGGCGGTTCCTGTTAGTTCGTCAGGTTGCTATGGCAGTTGATGATCTGGTACAATGGCTGGTTTTAGTGATGCTGTACGGAGTAGTGATGCTATAGTTGTTGTTACTTGTTGATGTCGGGAGAAATAGGGATGGCTGGTTTGTATCAAAATGTCCGTTCTCCTGGCCGAGTCATATTGTTATTCTATATTTAATGTGTTGTGATGATGATGCAAAGTTTAATCCTGAGAGGGAAAAAAATCTCGCAAAGGAATTCGCCTTCAATGTCCATTCATAGATTAGTTCCAGGTACTTGAAAGCGTTACACAGGGGACATACAACTATCGAAGTGGCGTTGGAACAACTCGAAGGCTTCCATAAATGTTCTAGAATCCGAGAATTTTCACCGCGTTTGACCGTGCTGAGCCTTGTGGCTTTTATCTTCTTGGCCCGCCCCCGTTGTCTGACACCTGTAGGGCACTCACGGAAGAAAACGGAATGCCCCAGTGATTGCATTGCCTTGCGGGAAACGACGAGACTTTCCCGATTTTTTTGTCTGACTCAGTTTGCCACTTGAAACGGATACTAATCTAATTTTCTTTTCTTAATTGTGGTCCTGGGTGGCTCCCTCCATAGTCTTATCCGGGACTGGATTCGTTATGATCTGCAGATGTACAGGGACGACCTTTTTTTTTTTGGGTTGCACGGCAGACTGTCTATGACGTGATGTTATCTCATCCTACCTTTTTTTTTTTTTTTTACTTCGTACCACGTCCCGTCGTGGTCCCTCTTATCACGGTTCATTGAACAGATGATGGAGGAGAACACCTTGCAAGGGATGGCAGATCTTGTGTTACTATCGTTTGTAGATGGCCCATTGCCTCTGCGATGGGATTGGCCGGATATCATTTCATTCCATCGAGAAAGAATGGTGTAGGACAATACCTCACCCTTACCCCTCTCACGACGCGCAATCCATTGAGCTCTGGGATGTGGAATATCTGCACACTGTGTGTAAGTACGTAGCATTTACTCCGGAGTAGTAGTTAATATACGGATATTGATCTGAATGCGACGGGACAAGAGCTTGAAGCTACTTGTCAGATAGGTCTTACCCAACGCGGTTAGAAGCTTAAGTCCGAGCCCATGGATCTTGCCAAGATGTAATAATGGAAGCGGTCCAACAAGCTTCTCGACCGAACAAAGAAAAATTTAATTCTACTGAGTATCTCATGATCCCAAGCAAACACACACACACACACGTTGGCGGCCTTGGCCGCTTCTGTTTCCCCCCTCATGGGGACGTGTGCTCGGGTGCGTGAAAGTGAAAGTGGGGGGTGGTGACACTAAGCGCGAAGGACCCTGTGGCATTCGCTGGATTCCTCGCCAACGAAAGGACCACGCGGGTTAAGAGTTATGTACACGCAAGCCACCCCCTCTCTGACTGGTCAGGCTTGACCACGTACTTGAACGGGCCGAAGCCCTCTGATTTGTGGATCACTTTGAGATTCCCTTCCAAGGTTGTGTCGTTTTTCCCTTACTTGTCAAACTGGGGCAATCCTGCATTCTTTTGGAATTCTTTTTGCCTTCGTTAATGTTCTGGAAATGGAATTTTCTTTTTCTTTCTTTTTTTTTTTTTCTTTTTGCCTTTCTTTGGGCAACTTATCTATCCAATCTTGGGGGGTCGGGAAATTCCTCATCACTACCGTTCTCGGTGAATGACCTTCTATTTGTCTTTTTCGACTCAAACCACACAGCGACACATATACAGTTTTCTGCATGTCTGCATACTCCTTGCAGAATATTTGGGGTAGCTAACTGCAGGCAGGGATGCTGACTGGTGCTACCATCATCAAACAAACACTAGAATGGAGTCGAGCAAAGAGCCGGAGGTTACGTGATGAGTGGACGGGATTTGATGGCCTTGCACTGAAGCTAGTCGAGAATGAGGTGGTCAAGGTTGGGACTAGAGGGAGTAGTAATAATACATTTTATTATTTTATTTATCTTCTCCCTTTTCTTTGTTTTTTTTTTTTTCTCACTTTTTTCCTCGCCCTCAATCACTCCACAAACCTATTCGGGGGCTTGCAGATGAGGGAGCGAGATCCACACCATCCACTCGACGCGCCTTGCCGTTTGAGAATGAACAGCACTAAAAAGTCTGAGCTCCCTGACTTCCTTTATCACACACCCAGGTTAGCCTTCCGGGTCAGGCTGCACTACGGAGTACTACTACTGTTGAAGGTAACACCCCCTTGCCTCCAGGCTGCCGTATGGAGTCGATGGCTGCACTGCCTTCTTGGCATTCCTGTAGATCCTGACGTGGGTGGTCCAATCATCGCCCGACGCTCGGCTCTGCACCACCACCCATCAGGCCGTCTTGCGCCTTCAGAGCATCACGACGTCGACCGGTTCCCTGACTTCGGATTCGAGAAGCCTTTGACTTTCTTTTCCCTCGGGTGAGGTTATCCCAGGTTATACAATGTGTGCGTCGGGATTGAGGTCCCAGAGGGTTGGAAATCTTCAAGAGGCGCCGCTATGCTACCATGTGTCCGCGAGAATGGGAAAACACGTCGCGATGGGAAAGCTAATGTAGGTGATCTTGGATTGTAGGTAGTAGACTACTAGGTAGCAGCAGTGTTTAAACTTAAGCTGTCATAGGCCCATAGCTATAGGCAGGGTAGTTGGTGAGAAGTTACCATGTCCGGATGTGCATACCTTCAGCAGTATCCAATTGTCCTCCGTCATAAAGTATGTACCATTAGATGTATGGACAAGATTGAAATTTAAGTCCTTCATACCCAAATGCATAGAAAAAGAATCGAAGAATGTGTCTTTTCTCTTTTTTTTTTTTTTTTTTTTTAAATTCTTTTCCCCTCTTTCTTTACTTTTACTTTTATTTTTATTATTATCCGCCGGTGTTAAAATAGAATAAAATCAAACAGATCGAGTCCAGACACCACGAGGCTTGTCGCCACAACGGGAATTGTTCTAAAACACTATAAGTCAAAAGCTCCTGCATCAGGTGCTCGTCCTACAAAAGCAACAATTCTAGTCCTGTAGGGTCCAAAATTATTAATTTTTTTTTTTTCCCTTTTTGCGAATATCACCCCCCGGAGATTTATCATGGTATCATACTGATATTAGATTTGTTGTATGATCATTTACTACGCGTTGCATGCAGACTTCCATAACATCCTCACCCATCCCTCCACACATCCATACATACATACTTTCATATCTACAGCAAAAAGAGATATATCACTCCCTCCTTCCTGCCCGAGGGATTTCTTTACCTTTTCCATAGCCTTCGACCTGCAGCATCTTGTCATTGCAGAGATTTCTCCCCCTCGGCTTCCCCTTACTTCAAAGATTCCTTCTTTGGATGTTCTGTTGCGGAACGTCGCATTGAATCAGTGTTGTGGTGAGTTGAATTTTTATTTTATTTTTTTTCCACTTTGCATTCGTTTTTATTTTTAAATTTCCTTATTTTCCCTGGTTCCTTTCCGATTTTGGAAGTTTTCATACCCCTTTCGTAGGGGATTTCCTTTCTTTTTCTAGTCCACATTCCTCGAATGTGTCATGCCTGGAAGGAATGGAAGGTTCGGCAGCACGTAGTGTGGTATAAGGATGATAGGCAAACATCAGACCCAGATCCAGACACAAGACACAGACACACCCACACAGAGAGAGCACAGAGAGAGACGAACTTGAGAAACACTGGCTCCACTTGGAGTCGATGGGGGTTTTTTTTTTTTTTTTTTAATCTTTCCTCCACCATCACCATAACTACGACATTGGATGCTGTGTTGCAAGTTGCAACTCGCAAGGGGATCCACCTTTTTCTTTTTTTTTTTTTTTTTTTTCTGTTTCCACTGTCCCTTCCCAGGATTGACTTCCAGGACGGAGATCAATTTCGATCCTCCACTGACGGACACGATCCATTCTCACGATTCTCCACCACAGGAGCTTCCAGATCCTGTTTCTGTTTGGGACAGAGAGAGAGAGAGAGAGAGAGTGTGTGTGTGTGTGTGTGTGTCAAGACTCAGAAGCCTTTTTCTTTTTCTTTTTCTTTTTTTTTTTTTTTTTTTCCCTACAAGACGATCTGAGAGCATAGCATACCTCTGTAAAGCGGATATGACGTGATCTGCCCTGTTGGAAGTCTGCGTGTACCATCAATCCTTCGTTCATTAGTTTGATTTGCTTTGGCCCCAATTCTTCTTTTTCTTCTCGTCTTCTTCTTTGATTCTTCGCTCTTTCTTTACATATCGATCTATATTCAATCGATACGATTTTCTTCGATCGCTTTCGATCGCTGTCCCCTTTTCCTTCTCCCTCTCTCTTATCTTCTGCCGTCTTTCCTTTTCAGGCAGGAAACCAGAAACCCACCAAACAAAGGTTAGTGACCGTGTGCACACTCTCTGTCTCTCTGATTGGCATCATCGCGCGGGTCAAATCCTGGGATCTGAGTGGCTCTCTATCTCCGCCAACCTCGATCTGATAGGCCAAGCGCTTGATCGACCGGGAAGTTAGTCGACTGTGATTTGTGGCGGAAATACACGCCTGTGGGTTCGCATCCTTTGGCTCGTCTCCTCAACCGACCAACGTGGATGCTGTGTCTGGAACTCTGGGACCCTCTTTCTCGCCCTCTCTCTGTGTCTTGTACCTGTGGGCCCAAACCACACACCCACTCTCTTCTCTTCTTCCCCCCCCCGGGTTGCTCGACGCTTCCGTGCAGGATTCTGAACTCTCTGGAAGGGCTTCTGATCCGCAGCATCACATCACCCTGTCCACCTTCCCGCCTGCCTCGTTTCTTATTATTTGAGAACCACTCAACCTCCCCTTATCTTCTCTTTTTCCTTACTTTCTCTCTTCTCCCCGGTGTCGTCATCATTATCCTTCTTTGTGTGTGTGTGTGTGTGCGTGTACTGGGTGTTCTTACTGTTTTGCCTTTTTGTCTTTATCTTCATATTAGACTCTCTCCCAAGAACTCCTTACATGTTACATCCATATCTCGGCTGCGGCACACGACTAATCAGTCCTTTCACTCGATAACAGATCTCACCCTTCGTTCACTGAGATCTCTCGCGCGGTCCCCCTCCCCACACCTACCTTGGTCTTATTTTAATTCCAGCGTCCCTCATCCCTCCCGACGCTGTCTCCGAACGCCCCGAATCGGCTTCTTTCGTTACACATCCCGTCCCCACGGCTTCTCACTTACCCCCGCCGGTTCTTATTGGCAAGCGCCTGCTCCGGCTGAGTCAACATAGGCAGAAACCTCCCCCCCCTCTCGCCATTGACCCGTTATTTCCGGCCAGGGACACCCAAGCCCTATTAGTACCTGCAAAGTCGTGAGGAACAAACCGCGGGCTCTCCCCGAATTTCGAATCATCCCGAACTGGGGAGGAATCAGGGTGGCTCAACGTACATTGAAACGTTCCAAAAAACCTCGCACGCTGTACGCGATGCTCAAAAAGAAGACTTTATACCCTCCTCTCCATTTCTGGCATAGTACTCCCACATCCACTCCTGAACTCTCTCCCACATCATCGTCTTCGGACAGTGAGTCAGACGAGGACATGGACCTATCTGGTTCACGTCCGTTGAGTCTGACCGTTCCGGCGGGTGCATTTTGTCCCATGCGTCCCACCTTAGATGAGGTGCTTGCAAACACGGCACCCGCTCCTTACACCCTCAGCGCTTTTATGGCCTACCTTTCCCAGAACCACTGCCTGGAAACGTTGGAATTCACCCTCGAAGCGAAACGGTACCGGGAAACGTACGACACTCTCAGCCAGCAATTGGGTGAATACCCTATCGTCGCCGAATGTCCGGAAAGCCAACATCTGCGGATGCTTTGGCAGCGACTTCTGACGGCCTACATCATTCCCGGATCCCCCCGCGAGATCAATGTCTCCAGTGAAGTCCGCGACGATATTCTTCGACAGGCTAATTCGACCATCCCCCCTCTGCCCGAGACCCTCGATGCCGCCGTGAAACTCGTTCACGAATTGATGGAAGAGTCAATCTTCCTGCCCTTTCTGAATGCCCACGCCGCTAGCGCCCAGGTTGTACCGCTGGCGGAGCCGCTATTTCCGCAGGAGGATGGGGTAACGGTGGTTTCCGGGCCGAGTCTCGACGAACACGCTATGAAGCGCGCCCGGTCGAAGGGACGGCGACTGTCCCCGCGATCGTCGAAGGATTTTGGATCTCCGACGTACTCGTCCAGCCACTCCGGCCGCTCAAATTTCTCCCTCAGTGCCATGACATCCATGGGAAAATCCAGCCACCGGCATTCCAGTCACACTTCTAGCGGCAGTGGCGACTGCTCGGCTGGCCTGACGGACGACTCTGGCAGTTTACAATCCATGAGTACCGGCGAACCGATGACTCCCCCGACGACGCCTCCATCTAGTGACGCCCACGGTCTGCATCTGGCTCACAGCCCGAAGCAGCGCACCGATAACCCATGGAAGAAAATGGGGATGAAGTTGGGCTTCAAGAAGCGTTCGAATACCGGGAGTTCGGGGAGCAACAAACTGTCTGGCATGGACGAATGACTCGCCATGTGTCACTTATTTCAACATCTCTTCCACCTGATCTGTGCCTGTGGCACTACTACACTACGACCGACATCTACATCGCGGGGTTAGTGGTCATAGTAACCCCCGCATCATTTTTCCCCTTTCAACATGTGATAGAACGACACGACCTGGTTTGCATATTTTGAACTGCATCCGATGATTGATCTCTTGGTTATTGAGCCTCATTCGCATTGACTTGGACATGAGTTGACGGTGTAATGCATGGTGCATTGTTTTATTTTGGGAGCATTGTCATAGCAGGCGTTTTGAGTGATTATGCAGTGAGCGAGCATTTCCTTTGTTATGTTTCAAAATAAGATAGAATATGGTCCCAAAACGGATGGGCGGTCATTTGTGAGGCGTTATTGTGTTGGTTTCTCTGGGCGATTGGGGATTTTCGCCCTTTGTTTAATTTTGACGCATACCTGCTATTGTTATGTCCGGCATGATTGTTGGCTGCATCGGACTGGCTGCATTATCTACACTCTTCCATGTATGACTTAGCATTTACATTCAACGAGAGATACCCATGGGTTCTTTGAGCCAACTTATTTTCCATTGTACGTGCGAGAAACGATCTAAACACTATTCATGAGGACTCCCCCACACCCTGCAGACCCCAAACAGATTCTAATATTGAAGCAAATCCCTGTCACAACCCTGAAAGATATCAACCTGCCCACCTTAGAGCTCTACCCAGAAGTCACTTCCATGGTACATACATGTTTTTAGTCACGGATGCAAGTAATTACCAAGTACGAAGCGGGTTATTTTCAAGCCACTCACTGCCACACTCGGTCAGTAGCTCCCAGGTGCAGATGAAGATCCACAACTTATTCTCCGGATCTGGGGAAATACACTCTGTCGATCATTGTATGTAAATTGGAATTGGATCGCACTCGCATGAGCTATTTCTACTAGTGTTAGATTTTACTAAAGGAAAGTCTTCCATCAACAAGCGGTTGTATAGTGTAATGGTTAGCACATCGGATTCTGATTCCGGTAATCCCGGTTCGATCCCGGGTACGACCTTTCATATTTTTTCTTTTTTTAATTCTTTTTTTGATCTGTTTACCATGTTGGTTTTGGTGGTTTTTTTGTCATGTATGTTATTATGGATTAATTTGTTTGGGGTTTGTTCGTGATGGGATTGTATCTGGCCCCGTTTTGGGTCATTTCCTTTTGTGGTTTGTCCTTTGTGTGCTGCACAGTTTGTATATAAAGTACGATTTTATTGTTTGTTGGTGTCGAAGTTGGTATATGGAGAATAATGGATGGAGAATATATATATATATATATATATTTCTACTAGTTCATGTATGGTAGTTAAGTATCAACAAGCAACCCGCCGTCCAGACCTTGTTTCCAATGCAGCAATGTTTAGATCCCATCCTGCCTGTGTAAGAGCTGACATGTACTGATCCGCACGAGAACCATCATTTAGGAAAGCCAATGTCTTGGAGATCGTGTCCGTGATATACTTCATCTCTGTGCTGCCCTCTTGTGCCCGCATCTCCCTTGCGGATGAGCATAGCACTCGTGCAGTCAGTAATGCGTGCATCCAGGCTTTGAGTTGTGTTTGGGTTGTGCTACTCGTTTTCAGGAGGATTCTTGCGTCCCAGGTTTGGCGGTTATGGTGCAGGAATAACAGGTAGTCTTCTGATCTGAAGAGGGAGGAAAGGTCGGCCATGGGTGTTGATGTTTTCAGGGAGCCGGATCCCGTGCGTGTCGACGACGGGGCGAGGAATTGTTCGAGCGAGACTCCGATACGGCAGAAGCCTAGTTTGTGTTGTGTTGATGGGGCAGAGATCCATTTTAAGATGCCGTCCGTCTCGAAGATCTTCTCTTGCTTGGAGACTTGGGCTGGGGTTGGTAGCTGCCATTGATTCTGTGATTGTGTTGCTTTGGTATGCTTGGGGGTTGGGTGAGCTTGGTTGAGGTTTGCAATGTCAAGATCTGCGTTGGAGTCTAGTAATGTTGAGAAGACGATGTTGGCTCGTTGCCGGTTTAGACTGGTCATTTGTACGGAACGGACAGCTGCGTAATTGAGACTCAGATGCATGGTAAGAAGCATCACTAGAGAAATCCAGGTTGCGGGGTAGCTTGTAACGTGAGATACAACAAAGGATCCAACCTGCACTTCATCAGCTTGGCACCGTGCAAGGGGATATCGAATTAATCTTACCAGCATCCCAATAAGGGAGATGATAGTTTCTTGTGAGGAGTCTTTCTGGACAGGAAATCAGTGATTGGTATAGCCTTTCACAGTTTGAGCAGAACGTACGGCGCTAACTTCTGCGAGATTCCCCCACCGAGAGAAATGTGCACTCAAACTCGCCTTAGAGCTTCCTCCTGCGACGCCACACAGAGCTCGTAACACGCCTGCTGTGCTGAGTACAGTCACCCGACTGAATCCTGTTGGGAGCATCGGGGAAAGACAGTCCAAAATCATTGCAGCATCGTTGAATATATCTGCTGCGAGGCGGTACATTTTGCATTCTGGCTCTAGGGCAGTGCCAACCCTATGGGCAAATAGAATGGTTGCAACTCGGCCGGATGTGTCTTGAAGGATGTGAAGCAGAAGAGCAGCTGTCGGGGAAGCATCCGCATTGCCCACTCCAACACCTGTTTTCTGACCGTTAGTAAAGCCGCAGTAGCCCTTGACTAAGGGGCATTACCTTGTAGTACTGCTCTCGAAGACAGGAGGCCGGCAATTGAACTACTGAACGCTTGAAGCGAATCCTTAAGTGTTGATGAGTTAGTCACGCTCATAATCCACGTTTTGGCAATAAGACATTGTAGAGGAGAGCATATTCAGACTCCGTTGTTGGCTATGAGGTAATCATGTATGGCATAGGCAAGATGTAGTACTCACAAAGATTTGGTACCTGCAATCTATATCAGCGGTACTCATCCTATAGTCGCACAAAGAAAATCATCAGGGTACGAGATAACCTACGGGGCATAATCATCACTGACACTGTGAGGATATCCAGCAGGGAGAAACACGTCGACCAGGAGGCTTTTGAGAGAGGACAAAGACCATGACTGTGGCTTGGAGGAGGGGTGCTGTACGTTGTCAAATCAGTGGCCACAACTTGTTTATTGTTGACATAGAATGAGATATCTCAGAAATTTCAATAGAGTCATATAGTTATATGAAGGGTGATCATCAATACTGATTATGCCGACTGTATTCATGAGAGAGAGGGATTGATTTCCAATGAATTTGAGGTTCTCTCATTTCCACCATACATGCAACGTCTAGACAACTGATTCAAATTCGAAATAAAATATAGAAACGTACTATCACATCCAGTCGCCCTGTGTTATTGTTCTTATCATGCTGGGGAAGATGCGTCGACAGATCCACAACTCCAGAGTAGATGTAAGTAGCAGTAGGGTTATTGACCTCGTCCACTTCAGTGAAAGTTATAGTGCCGTTGGCATCGGAAGCCATGCTTGGACTCTTGTCTCAGATCTTGACTGGGATATTCAATTATCAGGAAGACAAGAAAGAAACCCGATGCGATTAGATGTGGTATGAAGTTGTGGTTGAGGTTTGTATGTCACTTTGGAAACGTGGTTGCTCCTTAGTCATCTTTTAGGTCTTCTGCCCAAATTAAACGTACCACCGACGTGCAAAACTCCTTTTGCAATAAAATTAATGTCCCTGTAGTTCTACTCAAATGGCTGCCAAGGTTAGAAAATTGAAGTATTTGCTCAAGAATTTGTATGCCCCCAATGCTCAAGAGTAGCAGTCACAGGAGTACATCGCCTAGTTCACCTTCTTTCCTTACTGGCAATCCTTTCCCTCTTATTTTCCTATATATAAGCTCTATATATAAACTTATGTCCTTCATCACAGAGTACAGTGATTTCTCACAAATCTAGGGCTCTCTATCTAGGATATGCATATGGGATGTTCTTCATTTCCTTGATAGCAAATATTGCTAAACCCGCCGCCCCGGATACTTTCCATCCGGATGTATAGACAAATCTAGAAGCCTAAGTGGCGTGAATTTCACGTTCTATTTCCGAAAAAGGAGTATGGAAAGCTACGTTGCAGTCCTCTCTGTCCTACCCCCAAAGATTAGGGAGGATTCGCTGTCTATTAGGGGAGGGCTTCGGCCCTCCTCCCCGAGTTTCGTCCCTGATATCTCCTCATCATTGGAATTCCTTATTACTGTCTTTATGGGAGTAATAGGGAAGGTTTGACACCATAGGGGTATTGATTCTTCATCTTTTGAACGCGCACAGTGTTGTCTCCTAAGGTTAATCTGCAAGCGGGTAAGTGAGATATTCTAGAGACTATGGGGCTTTCATCGCTGTTAGACACTAGAGCAAAGATAAAGATGACCTTCCAATAAAGTCTGGTATTGTACCGGTGAGTGCTTGGGTGAGGATGACATACATAGAAAGAGTACTTCTGCCTTCAGAGAGCGGATACCAGAATATGAGGGATGGTTTTCGGAAGCACCAGACAGGATTATTATTCTTGCACACTCTGTGATTTCATACCAGCAACTACTACAGAGATTCCTAGAACCTTGTGGGGAAATGGATAATGCATCGGAAGTATAATACTGCGTCGATCAATGGTGAATCGGTCAAGTCGAATCTATACATACGGATACATGGCAGTTACTATCTATATCAAGACAGAGTAATTGGAACAGAAAGAGGAGGACAGTATTATGCCATTGAGCTATATGTCTACCCAAATATGCTGGACATTCCTCAAAAATCTACAAGAGTCTACATTGCTTGGATAGGCTGATTATAAGATTAATCGCGGAGAAGTGTACCTGACTCGGGCTATTGTTGGCTATTGTTGGCTCAACACAGTCCAATACTAAGTAGAGTGATTTCCAAAGCGTTACAGACACTCCCATCCTTATGAGTAGTACGCTTAGAGTGCCATCTAAAAGAGTTGTGAGTGATAACTGCAATGAACCACATGATAGATGTACTGAGTTGGGTGAGTTTGAAGTCATAACCCCATTGACGTTGACCTTAATTATTAAAGGCAGGCAAAGGCTCTGTTCCAAGCTCTCTGGAATGAAAACCAATCCAAGTGAATATCAACATCAAATAGCCACGAACTTAGATATCCGACCCAACTCCCTGAGCTCCCCTATCTTATATTTCCCTTGATCTTCTTCCTCGCTTCACCTTTCTCTTCCTTTCATATCCCAAGCCACCAAGCATATTCCCCCAATATCAATCCCTCCATACCACCACCATCTGTTTTCTTCAAACATTGACACAGTTTCTACCCTAACACGATGGGAGAACTCACCATCCACTATGGTTCGACCTACATTAAAGTGGGGGAAGTATGACTGCGACCCATTGTTGGTATCCGTTAAACTAAAGCTGACGCTTGCCCTTAGTTTCTCGATACGGAGACGGTTGCTGATGTGGTCCAGGCAGCAAAACATATGCTGAAACTCCCTGATCGTCCCAAGCCGCACCTCACCTGCAAAGGAGTGCATATTAACCCCAAGATACTCGCCAACACCATATATGGTAAATGGAGATCCGAGATACTTAGAATATCTTACACAAGCCAAGAGTTGGAAGAGGCCTTCAGAGTTTTGATGGCTTCGGACACGGGTCTCCAGTGGACTCACCTGAAACGGGTCCCCTAGTATGGAAATGGGGGTTGGGTCAAGGCCGACGAAGTGCTCGAAGTTCTAGAGCCCTTCATCTGCGCTGACGCTTTCTCGTAAAAGCTGACCAGAGTGGGCATATTGTCAAATTTGTTGCCTGTGGCCCTCTGGTCTTATGTTCCACCTTGAACCATTCGCAAAAACAACTCGCTATCGATTTGAGATCCAAGAGAGTGCGGGAAGATGACATTGGCATCGTGCTAGAACATGGTGAAGTAGCTGGAGGCTATTCAACTATGGCCTGGCGAGTACACTGAAGTTGAGATGCAAGGAGAAAGGAAATATAAGCGTTCCACTGCTATTCTACTTGGCTACGTCATGGGGGATTCATGGACCCTCTTGCAGTATCGAACACGTGCGTGCCATTAGCCTATTTGCATAGTCTACTAAATGGAAGATATCTGGAAAATTCTGGATATATTGGAATCTGTGAATGAAGAATCCATCTAAGACTTTGTCCTCCTCGAGCCCCCAGTATGATACCGAAGGAGCCATTAGGGATCGAAGTCTTAGCAACAAATGAAACCATCTATGCACGAATGTTTGCAAACCTGAACATTCCGCAGTCAGACATCAAGACGATAACACCCCATATACCACGCCAGAAGAAAATAAAAACCGCTAAGGAAGAAGTAACAACCACCAGCGCCATGGTACGAATAAATAAAACAAAGTAAAGTAGCAGGAGTCGGCCAGAGATTTCCCCCCGGTGAAGATTCTCCTGGACCCATCAGGTACGAAGCTTCCAACCCCTGTCGCTTAATGAAGTTAGGGTCCACGACGACGTGAGATTAACCCAGCCCCACGGGCTATCCGGATGTTCTTCGTATCGCATCGAAGACATCGGAGAGCTACTTGCGTCGTGTCTCCGTTCAACAGTGACCCTTCGAACAAGCGAGTCCCCCAGTCATCTCACTTCTATCGTTGTAATCGTCTTCATTGCATCATCCCTCATTCATATACACAAGAGGGCTTAAGCCAAGAGACTGGCACCACCGGTCTCGATGGCTTCAATCTCAGCCTGGCTCCACGGAAGACGCTGGAACCGAGGAGGAAGCTCGGCACGGTCGAAGTATTCTCCCTGCTTGGGCTGAACGGGGCCCAAAGCGGAGCCCGAGCTACGGCCGATCGAGCCCTGAACGAACGAGCCACGGCTCAGAGGACCGTGCTGCTGGGCCTTAACACGGTAGGCAGCGAAAGAGTCGGGGAGGGCGCCTGTAGGAGAGGCGGGGTGAGGACGAGGAGTGTGGTCAATGGATTCTGGATGCAATGGGTTAGTCTCGGCTCAATTGCTCTTTTTACCCGCAATTGGGCAGGGAACAGAAGTACATACGAGGCACGGAGCGACGGCCAAGGAACCGAATAAGAGGAGTCCGGGCAACGGAGCGGAGAGCAGCAGTGGCGTGCATTTTGAATATGTGATGTATGAGAGAAATTAGGATTGTTTAAAAGGAAGAATTTTTGGTTGAGGCGAAGAGATTGCGCGAGAATTGGGGGTTCCGCTATTGCCCGACGCGACCAGGTAGGTATTTATTAAAAGTTGTGACGTTGGGGTATAATCTAATTTTGACAGTCTCCTGGGATTGTCTTCGAGATGATCTCGGGGATGCAACGAAAGTATTATATACAGTGGTCGAAAGACTGGAAGACTGGACGCGAGGGTGAAGAGAAAAAGAGAAAAGGAAAGTGGGAGGACAAAGGAGGGAGGAGGAGTAGAAAAAGGCTTGGGAGAGCGTTCGGGGTCGGAGCGGAAGCGAGGGCAGAATTAGCGTAGTACTGGAGTGCAGGTGCAATTGATAAGCTCCTCTCGGTGGGTGGTCCGGAGAAGGATTACTGTAGGAAATTAGTAGGTCGTATGGTATTTTACTCGGGGTTACCAGAGGAATACCAACAATGGGTGGTACCCTCTATGTACCACTGCTCTCGGTCGTGTATCTACTAGTAAGGTATTCCGTTCGGCGTACTACACTTACTATCTATGTACATTGTATGTACATCCATACATACCTCGATTGCCGACAGAAGGCGTTCCGGATTTACAGAAAAGAGACTAAGGGCTTCCTTCCCCAAACTAAAATCGGTGGGATGACTTCCAATGACAGAAGATCATTCGGCGATGATCTCAAATCATGCAATAGTCGGTCGTTGATAATCTTCCTTCCCCAGAACACTATTGCCTCTCGGGTCCGATCTTTTCCCAAGCCGCCATCCCGGTGAAGCCGTTTTTCGTCCCTGACAGGTGCTCAGTGACCTAAGCTTATGCAACTCCTTATGAACCCTGCACCGTCAGCGGTCCATTCTGCGCCTCCTCTTCCCCTCATCAGACCACATTCCCTCGATTATTTATCTCTTGACGCTCTCGGAACTCGTTCCCCGCACCCCGAGGAAAAGGTCTCGCAGCTACCAATTCACCCCCGGCCCTGTTACTACTTACTAGTCCTAACCCTAATAAGCAACTTTCGATTTATCTCATTCTTCTCCAACTCTACGTCCTTTGTTGTTCTCCTCACGGAATTCATTTCCCCTTTGATACCCAAAAAGAAAGAAAGTTTCGAAAGGGTACCAGACCTGACCCTCCATGATCGGAGATATTATTTAAATTACATAGGACCGTATTGATTGGTATTACCTCTCGACCTAAATGGGACAGAAAAGGTAAAAGAAAAGAAAATATTACGAACTGTGTGTCCCGCTCGGAAAAAGTTGGGAAGCTTGGGCCAATTCCAATTCCGGGTTCGCCCGCTCTGACCCTACCGGCTCCTCACCACTCCGACCACCTCACTGGCGGAGCGCTCCCAATCCTGCGATTTTAACTCCGATTCGGGCGGTGGTCTTAACTGTTGTTTTCCCACTTGTGATCATGCATGAGCTACTGCTCTTCGCCTCGGTTCCCGCGCACCAGCACCATGAGCTGCTACAACAGCTGGCCGGGTTGACGGCCATGCAACCCCGTCACCGCTTAGAGAGGCGTCTGATCTTCAAGGCCTATCGGAAACCAGGGCTGATCAATACCCGTGTGGGTGCCAGTCAAGACCTGCAAGGCAATGAAATGCAGCGTCTGAATAAGATGCTGAATGGTGGCATGTTCTATACACAAGTGGTCGGACCGGTTTCCGAGGCTGACTTTGGTGCCCAATCCTCCGCTGCATCATCTGGTGACCCCGATGCGCCCATGTCTGGAACTGATTCTGGTGCAAAATTGGAGTACCGCCCCTACAGTTATGAGAATCAACCCTGGAAACTGGAGTTTAGGGATATCCCCGAGGCGGGGACTCGTTCCGCCGTTACCACCCGGCTGATGGCCAGCGCTAGTTTGCCCAAGGGCGATGTTACCGCCCCCATGAACGCCTGGGGTTATAGGTCAGTTTACTAAGGATCAAACAGTATTCTGATTGATTACGTTTACTGATGACCCGGCCAGTTTTGTCACGGAGTACGTGGTAGAGGGGGATGTCTTTATTTTGAATGATATCGTCATCTACCTACATCGGGTTCTGCATTATCCTGCAGAAGGCTCTGAATCACATGAACCGCGGCGACAGTTACCTCCTTTTCAGCAGATGTCCCCGCTGGAAAAAACCGGAAGCTATGTCTTGCAGGCCTCTATTGCCGTCCAGGATGGAGGTAACCAGGAGATGATGAAGACCGCGTCGCAGCATTTGTTTGGACTCCGTGAGCAGCTGAAGTCGGCCGTCCGGCTGGAACAGGCGGATCGACTTTCCTTGGACACACGAGCGAAGTAATCGGATAGACGTCCTTTTTCATTCTTAGGTTTGCGTATTTTATACCCCGGGCAGTGCTTCCGTTAGATATTTTCTTAATACAAATTACAAAACTTTGTGTATTCCAACTTCTCCCTTCGGTGCCCCATGTTGTAATAGTGAGTTGCGAACTTGCTCTAAAATCATTCCACATGCAAAAGTACTCCGTACGATTCGCATGATTGAATATTTCGTATCGGTGTTGCCCTTCCTGGTTAACACCAATTACCTTGCGGGGGAAGAATGAAGGGGGATGTGCAGAATGCTATTCGGCCCGCTTCACTGATTTAGTATACACCGGTCATTGTATTCGTACAAGTATGTCTTCCGTGAAGATCAGTACTGGGACCGGAAAACGCGACGCACACCTACATTCTGATGGTCAAACACTAGAAGCTACGGAGTAGAGTAGCTCTTAACGCAATAGGAAATTAGCTTTACACCATGAGAAGTGATTATATGCTCCATACCAAGGTTATGTGGGGACCGATATCTGTGACAGTATCATATCTGAGTAAATAGGTATATTCAATAGTAGTAATGGCCGTGTTGACAATTCGTTCTCTCATTTAGACAGTGTCAGAATTTCACATACGGAGACTTACACCATCTCATTGCCATATAAATAACAGTATATATCTCGGACTTCAGGTTATTTTTGGCAGAGAGTCACTGCGTGATGTCGTACAAGTAAGTATCCATAGATAGGTGGTTAACTATATTAAATAGGGAATGGGACCCATCTATCTAGAGCATGTGACTTCGCGAACCTAACGCGCGTTGCCCGCGTGTTCAGTGTCCGATGGAGCAACTTGGGATGATGGCTCATTTATATCTTCTTCAACCATAACGTCATAACCTGGCCGGATAAAACGACAATAGCATTATTACAATCCCTTGATTACCCGCCAAAATTCTTTCGAGATTACAAGTCACCAGAATGGCCGGCTCGGTCAAACGGCGAGCGTCTCCAACTGGGGCTATCTCCCCACCCCCGATAAAGAGAAAGATTGAATCCACACTGACAAGTATGTATTTCAATACCTGACCTCAGCTATAATAGCTCTTAATTATGTTTTGTAATACTAACTGATCCTACAGAACAATCGGTGTCATCGTTCTTCACTCCCGCATCTCAGAAGAAGCCCGAGCAAATCACCTGGCGCATCGTGAACAACAGTCTTGTCGTCGGCAAATATGCGAAGAAAGCAGACCATAAACAGACTGAAGAGAAGCCAAAGGTGGCTGCCTTTGATTTGGTGGGGATACATCGACCGGGAGCACTTGAGCGGTGTGGGAAACTGACGCGCCGTAGGACTCAACGTTAGTCTCAACGGCTTCTGGCAACACTTTTCCCAAGAACTCCTCAGACTGGAAGTGGTGGCATGATACAGTTCCCTCTAGACTTAAGGAGTTGAGCGCAGATGGGTATGTGGGGTCTTCAATCGATCGCTACGTGATGTTCACTACTTGGGGACGTCTTGCTTAAACAGGTGGGAACTGACATCTCGCTCATTAGTTACTATGTCATCATCATATCGAATCAGAAGAAGATCAGCCTACAAAAGGAGATGAAAGGAGGGCGTTCTGATTCAAAAAGCCTCACGAACTTCAAAGAGAGGGCCTCTGCTGTCATGAAACAACTAGACATTCCTCTCAGTGTTTACGCAGCTACTCTTGACGATGGTTACAGAAAACCAAGAATCGGGATGTGGAAAGAGTTCCTAGACGACTATGATTTTGACCTGAACGGCGTGGACTTATCCAAATCGATTTATGTTGGGGATGCCGCTGGACGGCCAAATGACCATTCCCAGGTAGATCGGTAGGCAACCCTCACCAGCGGTCATAGCTTAATCTGACATGACTCTTCAGTGGTTTTGCTGTAAATGCCGGAGTTCCATTTCAAACACCAGAGGAGTTTTTTCTCAACGCCGCGCCGGAGCCGCTCGTGGAATCATTCGATCCTTCTCTATATTTACAATCTGACCAGGCCGATGATGGTAAGTCGGAGTGCAGAGTCTAGCCTACATCTGTTACGAGGTTGCCTATAATTTCTTCGGCACCATGATCAAGACAATAACGTATCGCCGACAGCTTTACCCCCATTCACCCGTCAAAGCGCTCTCGAACTAGTGACCTTCTGCGGCAGCCCCGGCGCGGGCAAGTCGACTTTCTACTGGGATTATCTGGAGCCATTGGGATATGAACGAGTGAACCAGGACATTTTGAAAACGGTATGTTGGCAATCCGACCACGCCACTCGTTTAGTCGTCAATGCATTGTTACAGAATCCCTGAGTGGAGCATCGCTCATGCAGGGGTAGCAATTAAAGCTCAAGGAAAAGGAATGCTAATTAGACCTGGCCAGCGCCCTAAATGTATCAAAGTCGCCAAGGAGCACCTTGCGGCCGGAAGGTCCGTGGTAGTCGGTATGTAAACTCCTTGCATTAGTTTCCCAATTCTCTACAACACCCCCGCCGTTTGTCTTCCATCTTTAAACCTCAATACAAAAAGCCACAACCGCAATGAGTATTAGTATAAAACTCAGACAACTAACCACCTGATCTATCCTCCCTCGGGAGGAGGCACAATATTCCCTATTAGACAATACGAACGCAGACCCAGAAACAAGATCCCACTGGATCGAAGTCGCAAAGGAATTCGGCATTCCCATTCGCTGCGTATATTTTTCTGCATCCCCAACTCTCTGTCGGCACAACAATGCTGTCCGTGCTGCCAACAAGTCCTTGGTATGTAATTGTACTACTACCCTTGTACTCTATGACCCCCAAGATCCGAAGTTGCACAGACCCGGAGACATATGGTAATACAGCGTCATGCGTTCATTATCTCTATACCCCCTCTTTCCCCCCTCTCTCCCGCCGAAACACCTGGCTAGCCCTTTGGATCTTGACAATATGTGTACCCCTATATACATACAGTTATACCCTCCATAATGGCAGGCTAATGCGTGAATGAATGTTCTTTAGAATCCGGAAAGCAGGACCCTACTCCCCGGAATCGCATTTGGGGATTTCGGCCGTCGGTTCAAGGAGCCAACGATGGCGGAGGGTTTCAAGGATATTGTTCGAGTCGACTTCCGCTTCCGCGGGGATGAAGAATCGAAGAAAATCTGGAAGCAGTACTGGGTTTAAACTCAGTTTTTGTCCAAACCTTGTTGAGCTTTATTGAGACCTTGGGTGCACAGATCGCTGTATGTCAATATTGTACGGAATAGTGACTTTCCGGGGCATTAAACGTTGTATCTGTGTACATACGCAAAGCAATTCCTAGCTATACATACTGTGAGATGCTGTAATCAGTTCGAAATTAGAATCTTCCCACATTAGTCATATCATTATGCAGATGCTGGGTATAATGCGTATTATATACATGTGAGGTATAGATCAATAATGCTTTTTGAGACACGAACTTTTCCATGCGATACAATGGACGCGAACTCAAACAGACATGTCTCGGGGTATATCAAGGAACGAAATGGTCAAAGCACCGGTAGCGTCCCCTCCAGAGCGCCCTTCTGCTCTCTCCCAACCTCCTGTTTTTTTACTCCGATTGACCAGGTGGTTTCCTCAATAGTTATGCAAGGAATATTGCTGATAGGGGTAGAACACAATGAGAACATAACAGTAAACCGTGGTACCATTTACACGCGCCTGTAAGGCGACCTCCGGAGACTCCACGCATAGAAAAACAAAGGGAAAGGCAATTATCGTAAGGAATGCATTGCGCAATTGCGAGTCAGTAGTCGCAGACGCAGGTCGTCAGTCGTCATTATCGGATCACAGCAAACCGGAAAAAGAAAGAAAGGAAAGGCATTATTCGTCACGCTTAATCAATCATTCGAGAGGCGTAAAAGTCATTAGATGTTGTACATCGATGCCTCTCGCGGTAATTCTATGGTCATCAAGGAAATTTGGTCCCTAGGACTAGACAGACCAAGGGTTCTAAGATCGTGACATCAGATCCTGGAAGAATCTGAAGAAATTGCGTTTCAACGACTGACTCCGACAGAGCCCCGATCCGCTGGTGGCCGGGGCAATAATCTTCATGGGCCCGACAATCTCTCCATCGCCCAACTCGGGGAATTTCTCATCATGGAGGCGTGGAAGCTTGATCTGTTCGCACGGGTCGCACTGCGACTCGGTGAGGTGTAGACGGTGTCCTTCTATGGCCTCTAGTTGGGAAAGCATCATCTCGTGGTGGTGCTTCCATTCACTATTGATACAATCCCACTTCTCCTGCGTCAACTTGTAGATTGTGGATGTGATCCCGTAATGCTCGCCCGTTCGGACAAGGTGCTTGGTGAAGTTGCATTGTGCCAAATCCCACTGGGCTCGTAATTGACGAAAAGATTCGAGATCGTACATCTCGGGCACGTACGGCTCCGGGTGAATTGTAAAATTGGCATGACCGAGCTTGTTTGCCCACTCATCGTTCGGGTCTGATAAAAAATAGGGAGGTGCATCCACCGACGCTGGTCGTACCGTGCTCGCGCGCGGACGATTGAATGACGAAATGGAAGGCCTGGTAGACAGCGGCGGCGACGGCAGGCTGGCCAACCGTGAGTCCCGGGATGCTGCACCGTCAAAGGCATCCTCCGACATGTCCGCCACGGATGGCGATTGCAAAGGGGAGTGGACTCGGGATGTCACTGGATACGTTGGTTGGTCGCCCATGAATGGAGGTAGCAGGGGGGTGGTCGCTTTAGGGCTCGCGTCATCGTTATCCTGGCTGTGACGATTTGCTTTTGCGATATCAATGGGTAAAGCCCCAGACTCACTGAGTCGCTCTTCAAAGATTGTCCTGGCGGGTGAAGGTGGCACGGTGACGGAATTGACTCGACTAACGGGAACGATAGTGGGACCGACAAGGATAGAGGATGCGGAATTGGTGCGAGACCGCATCGAGAAGGCATCCAACGCATCGAAACCATCGGAGCCCTGTCTAGACTTCCAACGGTTCGAAATGGTCGATATGCGTGAACCGATCCGCGACAGACCCTTGGCGGAGACACTATCCGAGCGTCTCTTTTTGGGTGAATGAGGGATGTCCATGCCGGCATCCGTGAGATCGTACTCGTCCGAGTAGTCGACTGAGGCAAAGTACTGGCCCTCAAACTCGGACAGATCTTGGTCGAAGTGTTCTGTATTGGTCAATACAATTGTATAAGTACAATCGGAGAAAAGACTCGAGAACGGGGAGGGGGGCTGGGAGCAAGGGCCACAACATACGGAAATAATCCTCCTCGAGATCCCTAGCAGGGGCTCCACAGGATTCTTCCTTTACTCCTGTCAAGGGATTCCTGGACGTGATCTCCATCGAGTTATTATGGCCCGGCGAGGAGACCAAAGAGGACACGGAACTCGAAAAGCGGGTATGTCCTTTGGCAGAGAAGAGAGAGACGGCGGGAGAGACCGGTGTCGACGAGGTGTTGGTCAACGGTGACTGCGGTGGTTGTCGGTATGACTCTATCATGGCTTCGGAACTATCCCGCCCTTTGGCGTCTATAAGTTGGGAAAGTTTCAACATGGTGCACGATTCCAGAAATGACGTGTTCTTGTAGAAGAGGTTTTGATGACCAGAATAGTGAGGCTTCCTTTTCACGTGCAGAGAGTGGACGTGAGGAGAAGCAATGCGAAACGCAGGGAGGGAAGAGAGGGTTCGAGGTCAATTTGGAAGAAGAAGCATTGTCCACTGATTTTCTTCCAAGATGTTTTTTTTTTTTCTTTTAATTCAGGCAGCAGGGGAAAAAAGAAAAAAATTTATGAAGGGTTGACAGAGACCACAGCTGAATGGATCAAAGCGTAAACCAAATGACTCTTTGATTGTTTACAAGCTGATGGGGGAAAAAAAACGTGGCGTGGCGGTGAATCGATATCCAGAAAGGATTAAAAAAACAGAGACGCCCGAAGTAAAGACTCAGAGTTTGAGTCAGGTAGAATATGCGCTTCCAACGAACCGGTAAGCGTAGGAAAAGAAGCAGTAGTCAGTCGGACGAAACAGGCTGACTGGCTGGAGAAGGCCAAACGCAGGCGGTAGGGCAGGCAAGATGAAAGACGTGGAGCACGTCAGTGGATGCCGTGCGAACAGCTGGCGGGGTGTTCGTGAGGCCCAAAGCCAAAGGGCACTTGACAGCTCAGTGCGCGCGCTGCAGTCAATCAGAACCCGTTGGCTGAAAGCCGAGCGATGCAACAACGATCTCGACGTAGTAGAGGTAAGGGAAGCCACGGAATCGACGGGCCGTGAGTCAATTCGAGGGTCACGGATTAAAGAATCAAATTCTATAAGCCGAGGGAAGAATAAGGATATTGGAAACGACACAAGAAAAGAGGAGAAAAAAAGAGGGAACCCGAAGCAGAGATGCGAAGGTATAATATGAAAACTTTAGAAAACAATATGAAGGAATCACGAATTCTTCATTGAATGCTCTCCTAAGACGACAAGAATAGCTATCAAATCACAAACCCTGTTCAGAGGCGAATCTCCTTCGATCGGCCAATGAAAAATCTGGGAGGGAGCAACTTTTGATATCCAACACTTGGGGGTCGTTTTTTTTTTCGCCCTTGTTGAATAAGTTTTTTTTTTTTTTTTCTTTTCTTTTCTTTTTTTACTCTAATTTTGTTTCTCTCACATTTCTTCCCCTCACAGTCTTCTGTTTTTAGTCCGTGTCAAGGATCATTGCTTCTTTAGTTTGGTTTTA